TTGTCGTAGCCTGCCGGCTGGCCAATCAAATTCTATTTGGCGTTCTATCCTTGTTCTTTTCACGCGGGTATTGAACAGCCGTCCTTTCCAGTGCGGTCGGAGTTGATATTGCAAGCACTGTATATATATATATATGGTTGACTTATTTCTTAATATTCATTGGCTTAATGGCCATGGCTTTAACATGTTGGTCCTGGAAAAAAAATACAATTAGACCATTTAAGGACTGCAACTTTTTTGTTTTTTATTTTTTTTAAATATCAAAAATATTCTTGGTATTATTTGACCTAATAGATGCGTTAGAATTTTAATAATACCTAGCAATTTGTTGATGTAGATAAAAGTAATTAATGAACATGTTCGTCCCATCGAAGCCAAATTATAACTGAATGCTTGATTACGTTGTAGGGATTATAATTATTTCTTATTAACAAAAACAACCAAAAAAATGGGTGAGTCAGACCTGCGCGATAAACATATTACGTTAAGGGTGACGAATTTCTTAATTATATATTTGTTATTTATTATTTTATTAAAAATCAAATAATGTAATTTCGATTATAGTTTCCAAAAATTAGGCACCATTTTGAGTAATTAGGGTTTAAAAATTGAATTTAATTTGTGTTATTTTCTAAAGACGTTTTGAAAATAAAAACTTAAATAAGAAACCTTTTTATTGGTTGATATTTTTGTTGAAAATATTTAACACAAAAATTATAGATATATACAGTGTGACCCATTTGTTTGCGACTCAACCCTGTAAAATCTTTATTTATTGTGCGATTTTAACCGGATTGTAGATCTTGATAAACTGTATTTTTTGAGGAAAAAACGTCATATTTGTACAAAATACAAGGCCTACCATGTCAGATTTTAAGAGTAAATTTTTAAGAATTTATATTGCCGATTTTTTTAAACAAAATCTAAGCACGGCACTGGATTCACCACCCCTCAAAACAAACCTATATTAAATTTAATTAAAAAATTTTAAGTAGAAAAATGCACAATAATAAGTACAAAATTTTATTCTGTCAAGTTATCCATGAAAAAACATTGAAATAAAATTAAACTAATAGTAACATGGTACTATTACTTGCTTAGATTTTTTTTTAAAAATCGCCAATATGAATTATTAAAAATTAACTCTAAAAAACTGACATAGTAGGCCTTGCATTTTGTAATAATATGGCGTATTTTGCTCCAAAAATACAGTTTACCAAGATCTACACTTTAAGACAAATCCGGTTAAAATCGCACAATAAATAAAGATTTTACAGGGGTTAGTCGCAAACAAATGGGTCACACTGTATATATATATATATATATATATATATTGATTTTAAACAACAAAAAACTGTTTAAATTTTCTAAAATTTTTATAAATAAAAGTAGACTAAGCAAGTTTGAAGAAATTTAGTTAAAAAACTTAAAAATTAGCGAATAAATACCTAGGTACCTACTTTTATTTTAGTCAAAAAATTTAAAAATAATAAATTGGTACTTGCCAAATTTATTGATGAGTTCTGGTTAAATCCCATTATCCTTAAATATTGGTTGTCTTATTTCTTAATATTCATTGGCTTAATAGCCATGGCTTTAACATGTTAGTCTTGGAAAAAAAATACAATTAGACCATTTAATGACTACAACTTTTATGTTTTTTATTTTTTTAAATATCAAAAATATTCGTAGTATTATTTGACCTAATAGATGCGTTAGAATTCTAATAATACCTAGCAATTTGTTGATGTTGATAAAAGTAATAAATGAGCATGTTCGTCTCATAAAAGCCAAATTACAACTGAACGCTTGATTACGTTGTAAGGATTATAATTGTTTCCTATTAACAAAAAAAACAAAAAAAGAGGGTGAGTCAGACCTGCGCGATAAACATATTACGTTAAGCGTGACGAATTTCTTAATTATATATTTGTTATTTATTATTTTATTAATAATCAAATAATGTAATTTCGATTATAGTTTCCAAAAATTACGCACCATTTTGAGTAATTAGGGTTTAAAAATTGTGTTATTTTCGACGTTTTGAAAATAAAATCTTAAATAAGAAACTGTTTTATCCTTATCGGTTGATATTTTTGTTGAAAATATTTAACACAAAAATTATAAATATTAAACTAAAAATTACAAAAATCTAAACAAAATTTTGACCTACGACCCCTTACAAAAACGAACTGATCTTTAAAAAAGAACAAGTTTCATCTCAATTTAAAATCAATGAACTATATATTGATATATTGATTTTAAACAACAAAAAACTATTTAAATTTTCTAAAAGTTAAAATCAAAGGCGATTTTATAAATAAAAGTGGACTAAACAAGTTTGAAGAAATTTAGTTAAAAAAACTTAAAAATTAGCGAATATTTACCCAATTTTTACAATTTATAGTTCGGGGAGTAGCACTGAAAACGATTTATAGATTCCCTTCCTTCCTTCCCCTGTAAAACATGAACAATACGAAAACCGTAGTAGTTTATAGATTCCCGTACGAAAATCTATAAACAAAACCGTGTTCGTATTGTTCATCTTTTACGGGATGGCAACATTGCACAGCAGTGTCGCCAATAAGAGAATATATATATTATACGCTATTTTGAGTAGTTTAACAACTTTTATATATAGCCTGTATAATAAAGGTATGTATCTTTCAAATTGGAGTTATTGTCACAACAAACGTTTTTTGAAAATAGATAATATATATTATATAATATAATAAAAAAGTTGTCTTTATTAAAATTCTAACTTCTAGCTTCTCAAAAACCTATACGTCATCTGTACTATAAATTTTCTAAAAAATACTATAATTAAATTGAGAAAATACTATAATGTGCATCTCAAGAGTTGGCAACCCTGGCGGCACGTCAGTGTATGACGAATTTCATCCATTACGTCACTAGCGTGCCCGTAAAAACTAAATTGCAGGCACGTAGTCACTGCGTAATATATTATAACAAAAATATCATCTAATTTTGTAATTTTAAGGTTAGAAAAATTTATTTTGACTAAAATAAATAAGTATTTTGGATTATTTAAAAGACTTTATAATATGGTATTTAAAAATGTGGTAGTTTTTCTTATCCAGCTTAAAGTGTACCTACATAAAGTTTCGACTGAATTTGATCTACATCAAAAACTTATTATAACTTTAAAAATTTTAATAAATCACATGTCATGGGAGTATTAAATATTTTCACATTGCAAGTTTCTCTAAAAATTGTTTGTTTTCTTATAATCTAACTTAAAGTAAGTATGCCGAGAGGTATGCACAAGTTTTGTCTTTAGAAGTATAAAAGCTTCAATTTAATTTGAACTATATTCAACAATTATTTAGTATACCTACCTATATTTGTTTATGACCATATTAACACACTCTTTCAAATAATCCACTTATTTATTTTGGTCAAAATAGATTTTTCTAACCTTAAAATACAAAATTAGATGATATTTTTTGTTCTAATACATTAACCTACCTTTGATACCGATATTCTTATTTCATAATAGAGAAGTTAGATTTTTTTTAATAAATGCTGTTTAGTTAAAACTATTTTATGGAGAAATGTAGACCCAATGCACAAAAATATCACTTATATTGCACCTTACACTTTGGAATTTCATTAAATGCAGTATTTATATTCCTAAACTCTTAAACCAACCATTGTTATTGTGATACTATAAAGATTTATTAACTTTTAACGCTTAAACATAAGCGGTAACACTATAAATATTATTTCTTTCATTGACTATACTTTGACAGATACATAACCTGAAAAGCCTTAAATGCCAAATTTTCAAAAGACTGCGTTCCGTACGTGTTCACGTGGTGGGACTTTGAGGTGTGGAGCATAGTACCTGTTATGGAATCCTGTATTCTTTTATGATTTAATAAATAAAAAAACCGATGCTTCTTTAGCGTATAAATCGTTTTCTAATCGATAGAAAGTGCTCAAATTTTGATGGGCGTCTGGAAATGAATGGCACTTGTAAAAAATGATGAAACTAGTCACGGTGCTCTTCTGAGAGGTGATTTTTGGACTTTCTGTGAAACCTAATTTTTTTTTATATTCTTGTTAATTAGGTCATAACTAAAATTTTAAGAGCAAAATAAAAAAAATTTGACGGTTTAAATTGTTTTAATTGGCTGTTTATTAAAAATATTATGCACTCTTTTAATTATCCAATTAAAACTAGCGATTTAATTTAAATATTTAATATTTGCATATCTAAAAAAAGGTTTTCACAATTTTTTTTATATATTTTACTGTTTTGTTGCAATAAACGTTTAAACTTTTAATCTAACCTTTGACGTATACATTTATGTTCCCTTAATTAATATATCCTTAAAGGTTGCCATGAAACTTAGATCTATTAAAAATTTATTTGACGTTTGAATTGTCATTTTCAGTATACGTATTCTATAATTTTTGTTTAGTTTTTTAAAGTGTTTTTTATAAACAAAAATGAAAAATTGTAGTAACAGTTACGAAGAAAGTCATAAAATTTAACTAAGGACCGGTTTATTCATCTTTAGTCAAGTTTATCGGGCCGATAACTTTCATGTCTTGGCAATATCTAGCATCCAAAGAAATTATTCGTCAAATAAATAAAAAATTAATAAATCTGCCCTAAATAAAATGTGGCACCCTTAGAATTATTGTTTAATAAACGTGTAAAAAATGTATAGACCTTTTTTTAGGAAATTAACTAATCTTTAATATGATTTAAAAAGTTATGATAATATTTAAATAAATTCGCAAGTTTTAATTGGATAATTGAAAGAGTGCATAATATTTTTAATAAACAGCCAATTAAAACAATTCAAACCGTCAAAATTTTTTTTATTTTGCTCTTAAAATTTTAGTTATGACCTAATTAACAATAATATAAAAAAAAATTAGGTTTCACGGAAAGTCCAAAAATCACCTCTCAGAACAGCACCGTGACATAAAAAATGATGAAACTAGTAGTGACGTGCGTTTCTCAGGTTTCCCGGCGGAGGCGTGCAAGCGCGCGGTGTTCTTCACGCAAAACACCGGGCTGGAGAACGCGACGCAATGGCTGATGGAGCACATCACCGACGCGAACATCGCCGACCCGTTCGTGCCGCCCGGCACCGAGAGGGCCCTGCCCGTCGACCAGGATTCCGTCGACACGATCGTCGCGATGGGCTTCACGCCCGAGCAGGCCGTGAAGGCGCTCAAGGCCACCGACAACAACGTCGAGCGCGCCATGGACTGGATATTCTCGCATCCGGACGACCTCGAGGCGCCCGGATCGCCCGCCCAGCCGGAGTTCAACGACGGAGACGGCAGTAAGTTTTGTCCTTTTTTTTTTTTTGGCGCGTCGAGAAATTTTATCGTGCAACGGATGATTTTAGAATTTTCAAAATTACTCTAAACTTTTGGAATCGTTTAATTATCAAAAAAAAATTACTTAGGAGTCATCAAAGGACAGTTTTTGAAAAAAATCGTTTTTTTTTTAAATTTTTTCTATTTATTATCATTATATTTCCCTACACTAAGAAGTTTTTTAAAATTATTGATTTCTCACTTGTAATGAATATGAAAACAACAGATAAATTCATAAAAAAACAATAAGAAAATTGTAACGTGGATTTTGCAATTTTTCAACATTTGTCATATAGCAAAAAAATATAAATAAAGATTATTTAATTTTTTTAAGCGAAATTTGAAATATGTTACATAACCTTCTGTATATTCCGATTAAAGTTTTGTTGCTTCTTTTATGAATTTATGTGTTGTTTTCATATTCATTATGAGTGAGAAATCATAATAATTTTAAAAAAGTTCTTAGTGTAGGAAAATATAATGATAATAAATAGAAAAAATCAATCTAAATAACATTATGGGTTGGTATTTATCAATTTCTTACGTTTTCAGTTATAAAAATGGCAGTAAATTCATTAAATATTGGTTGGATAACTTTTTTTTTATGAATCAGCCCTTTTTTCTCACTACTTTTGGCGATTTGCTCGAAAAAATAAAAAAAAAACGATTTTTTTCAAAAACTGTCCTTTGACGACTCCTACTGGTGAACCAATGCGAGTTACAAAAAAAAACTCCAAAGCAATTTTAAAGAGCGTGAAATTCCCCATAAGGTGTATTAAACCGATTTGCAATATTGTCAAAGGTGGGTAAGCATTAGAAATTTGAAATTTAAATGCATTTTAAACGGTAAAACTTTAAATTTAAATAGTAAGTGCTTAAAATTAATATTAAGAGCTCAAAAATGTTTTTTCCTATATGCAGATTAATATTTTGCTTGAGCACCGAAAAAAAACAAAAACTTTGCGGAAATGAATCACCCTAAAACATTCCCCGGATAACGACTCCAAAACAAAATTGAATTCCATTTTTATTTTTAGGGGTTGATAAAACATAATTTCAATTTAAAAAAATCAAGTATGCCTTGGAAATAAAAAAAAACATTTTTTTTGTGTAGGTAAAGTGCCTTTAAAATCATATTTCAGGTCCATAATATTATGCCAAATTTTAAAGTTCTTGGCCAATTTGATTTTTATTTTTTTAGGTTCAATAAACAGAATATTTCAAAAAAGTTGAAATAAAAAAAATCTCTAAATTTTTGGAATCGTTTAATTTTCAAAAAAAATACTTATGTATATAAGGTTTTTTTAATTGGATAAGTAAAACGACTCTTAACTCCAAGGTCGATAAAAGATTAATTTTCAACCTAATTTCAATTTTGAAAAATCAAGTATCAAGCCTTGGCCCCTTTGATTTTTATTTTTGTAGGTTCAATAAACAGAATATTGCAAAAAAGTTAAAATAAAAAAATCTCTAAATTTTAGGAATTGTTTAATTTTCAAAAAAATTACTTATACAAGGTTTTTTTATAATAGGATAGGTTAAACGACTCTTAAATCCAAAGCAAAATTGAAATCAATTTTTATTTTCAGGGGTTTATAAAAGATTAATTTTCAACATAACTTCAAATTTGAAAAATCAAGTATGCCTTGGAAATAAAAAAACAATTTTTTTGTATAGGCAAAGTGCCTTTAGAATCATATTTTAGGTCCATATACCAAATTTCAAAGTTCTTGGCCACTTTGATTTTTATTTTTTAGTTTCAATAACAGAATATTGCAATAAAGTTATAATAAAAATCTTACTCAAATTGGCAAAATCTCTAAATTTTTGTAGTCGTTTAATTTTCAAAAAAATTACTTATACAAGGTTTTTTTTAATAGAATAGGTAAAACGACTCTTAAATCCAAAACAAAATTGAATTCAATTTTTATTTTCAGGGGTCGATAAAAGATTAATTTTCAACATAATTTTAATTTTGAAAAATCAAGTTTGCCTTGGAAATAAAAAAACAATTTTTTTGTGTAGGTATTGGAATCATATTTTAGGTCCATATACCAAATTTCAAAGTTCTTGGCCACTTTGATTTTTATTTTTTTAGGTTCAATAAACAGAATTTTGCAAAAAAGTTAAAATAAAAATCTTACTTTTTGTCGATAGTTCCGAAATACAACAATCTAATTTTTAATTAAAACAGTCACGAAAATAACGATATTATTGTCAAAACTGACAACCAAGGTGGTTTTGTTAAGCTTAAACTGTTTATTAAGCCTTATGTGCTATGGAACCGGCAAGAACTTGATTAATACAGTTATATAAGGTGACCAACTCTCTGAAATGAAAAACCAGGACAAAACATGCCCCCTTGCCATTCCAAAAAATAAACAAAACTTATTTTATTCAATGTTTATTATTTGAATGGATTTTTTTTGTTATTCTAAGGTAAAACTTTTACCTTAGAAAAAAAGGGAATGCACTTTTACCATAAAACCAGGCAAAATAATTTATGTTAGGAGTAATCTGCTAAAAATAGTACAATAGCTTATTATAATATTGAAATTTAATTTAATAAGAAGCAAATAAAATTTAATTAATCATACATATCAGTAATTATTAGTATTTATTTTCAGACAATACCAAAACTGTTTTTAAAAAACCCAACCAAAATGTAAAAACATTGTTTTAAAATAAATAAAAGTAACTAGAAAAAGTTACTAGATTAAACTGGTTTTGTCCTGGTTTTGCAGATTTGGTCCTGGTTTGTACTTTTTTATATTATTGACGTTATTAACACATCTCTAATATAGGTGTAGAGATGTGTGCTAGAAAAAGTCACTAGATTAAACTGCAAAACTTATATTTACCTTTTTCTTCGCTTGTGCGAATTAAGTCGTAGAATTTCCTAAAAAAATTTTATTAATTTGATTTTCCATGTTTGAGTTTCACACTAAAGAATAAAAAACGCCCGCACATATCTTTTTTTTTTTTTAATTTAATTTTATATTTTCAACCCCTAATTGTTACTCCTAATAATATAGCATCATTTTAAGTTAAAATTAAAAATATTGAACGATATTTTTTATTCAAAGGCATAGTTAAAATTCGAAATTAAAAATTTCAATGTCAAATCACAAGCAATATTAAAAAAATATTGCTAAAAATTCACTCAATTTTCAAGTGGGATAGAAACATTTGCAACTTTTAATTCTACTTAAGTTTGAAATTCGTTGAATTAAAAATCACATATGATTTTTTATTCATTGCGAACAAATATATGAAATGTTAAAGTGATATTTTTATTTGTTGAAAAAGAAGGATTATGACTTTCCATAATAGTTCCTTAAAAAACAAATTTATTTAAAACATTAAAACAAAAAACCTCCAAATAAACTACAAAAATACTTTCTTCCAGAATATAAATTAATCGGATTTATCTCCCACATGGGAACCTCATCCATGGTGGGTCATTACGTCGTGCATTTACTAAAAGATGGGCAATGGGTAATTTTCAATGACAGCAAAGTCGCAATTTCCGAAAACCCACCAAAAGATTTAGGTTATATGTATTTGTATGAAAGATTGTAACTTAAGTTAAGTATTTTTTGAATTTTAATAAAAAATTTGCTAATTTACCAAGTTGTTTATTTTTAATTCAAACATTAATTACCTCGTTAATATAATCCCATGTACTGGAGAATTATTGCAAAATATTTTGGACAGGTAGGTGGATTAATAAGTAATGATATCACAAAAAGATAGGTATAGAAAAATAGAGTATTAAACCAATGGACGTTGAAATAAAGATTATTCTATTATTGTAACTGATTGTGTTAATATTGTGTTAAAATGATGAACTCAACTTTATATCTATCCTTCGAAAAAGCAGAAACAAGTAAGTACAACTTTTATTATAAAGTCTGATGTTTTACTCACATATTTAACTTGTTCCAGGTAAAACATCAGACGTTACGCTAAGAAAAAAACAACTTTCACTGAACCGATTGATTCGCGATTTAAATAAACAACTAAAAAACCACAAAATACATTTAAAGCGCAGAGATGGGGTTGTTTTTAACGATTATTTCAACATTACAGAACTCGATGAAACTATCTTGGACACCATCGATTTTAAGACCACCTTAAAAAAATGGAAAGCGGCCGAATGCCAGGGCAAAAACATCGAAAAACCCACAAAGAGTGTATTTAAGAACAACGTAGAATTAAGGAAGACTCCCGCTGGAGAAATTATCAAACCCGGCCAAAAATGGAAGATGTTATATGAAGATATAACCTCCGAATCTAACAGGCGGAATTTCCTTGACGTCTTGAGAAAGTGGAACAAACTGGAGGAGGAATTGTTGAACAAAGATCACCTTTTAAACAATAAAGTTGATATCACCAAGGATAATTATGTTGAGGTGCTTCAAGAGTGGCTGGATAGAGAAAAGTCCTTCAGCAAAACTGATTTGGCTCAACTGAACGCTGCAATACCAAAAAACGAAACAATTTATGAGCTGAGTAACACCAAGGAGGAAGAAGTTGTTAAGAAACAACAACAAGAAGATTTTGGGTATAAATCGGAAGACACAATTGAAAGCGATTATATCAAAATGGACACCGTGAGTTACGAGCACATTTACACACCGCTCTTGGACGAAAACGACCTTGAAAACAAAAATATATACACTGCAATGCCCGTTAAACTTGACCACCAAATTGAGGAAGAAGTTGTGCGTTCCCCGCCGAAAAAACCCACGAGATTCAAGAAAATTGAGTACACCGAAGAAATTAACACGCAAAACGTCATCATCGACCAAATAAAAAGAGCGTTGAGGTTCTGCAGATTAAAGAAAAGGTTGTTGAGGAGCAAGGAGAGGATAGAGGCTGAAAAAATCCTCCTTGTTGAAAGTAAGTCATTTGCAACTGTGAAATCCAGAAAAATATTAACATATACATTTATATTGCAGCAATTAAGAAAGGTTTACTAGTGAACGCCCCCAACCTAGTAGAGGTGAGCGCGGTTAACACCCTTGGAGATATCGGCGTCAAGAACCTAGAGTTTACTTTGAAAGAGCCAATCACGGAAGACTTCACTTTATACTTTGTGTGTCTGCTCAAAGGGGGCACCAAAGTCAAGGCCACCGAAGTGGCGACACCTAGCGGCGGCACTCTAAAGTTCCAAAAGGATCTCAGACTCGCCGAAGTGAACAACGCGTCTTTGGATTTGTTTTCCATGCGGTTGAAGAGTGGCGAGAAATTTGAGAATAATAACAAGTGCAAAAGCAAGTTGAAAAAATTTTTTCATAAGATTTTTGAAGGTGGGGATTGTGCTAACGTAGAATGTGGTGATTTCGAGTTTGGACATTACTCGGAGTTCCAAATGATTGGAAATGTTTCGTTTCCTCTGGTAGAGAGTACTAATGGTTTGAAGTTGATGAATACTCCTTTGAAGAGTGTATTGAAGGAGGAGTTTTCTGCTTGTGTGGATATGAGGCAGAACTTTAGGAGAAATTAAATGTACTACTTGAATATTTTAGTTTGTAAATTGTTTTATTTTAAATTTATTATTTAATAGTGTCTGTAATATTGTCTATAAATTAGCTGTAAGATGTACCTATAAGGGGCGAATAAAAATATTTTTAATACAATTTGTCTTTTTAATAACCTGATAATATAATTTAATTAGGTTTAGAAATTTTTTAATAAAAAAATACTTACTCGTTTTCAAGTTACAGGGTGTTAAATTGTTATTAAGATTTTCAGGAAAAACATAACCTAATTTATGTTAACGTTTTTGGTGTACAATTTTTTTACTAAAATTGGCCTTAAATAAAAGAGTTTAGCTGCCCTGTTAAAAATGCCTTTTCTACAATATTAAGGATAAAGAAATAGTATATTAAAGAACTAATGTCATAAGACGTCATTTTGTCGCACGCGGACAATTTATAAAACGAGCGACTCGTCGAATTTTACTTTAGATGGTTGGTATCACAGTCATTGGTTTGACAGGTAATGTCAAAATCGATTCGCCATGCCGTCCTTAATTTACTTATTTACAATAAGTGGCTGTTAATGTTTAAGGATTTTCTTTGGTGTTACAAAATTTATTGCCAGAAAAGTCTCGCAAGTACTAGAAAAATCATAAAAATATTTTAACCAATATTCAAAATATTATGCTGTTAAAAGTATAGCCAACCTATAAAATCAAAATTTTGGGTGGGATAAAGTATCTCATTACTGCACCGAAAGCGGTGTTATAATGAAGTCATTATGAACGCAAAATAGATAAAACCATGTAAATGATCTTTTGTCCTTAATATTGTAGATAAGGCATTTTTCTTAACAGGGCAGCTGGACTTATAATGCCCTAAGAAAATGAGCCGTATTTGCAATATTAAGTAATAAAGAACAAAAGTAAGTTTTTATTGTTTTTAACAATAAAAATGATGTTACTTAATATCGAAGATGCGGCTCTTTTGCTTAGCAGGGCAGTATACCTACTTCTTTTATTTTAAGATTGTTATATTTTGTTTTTTAGAGTTTTAGTAGACTGTTGGTCAGGGCCTATTTTACCTAAAGGCCCATAAGGCCCGGGCCTTGGGCCCGGAGGAAAATGGGGCCCCAAAAAATCCCTTGAAAAAAAATTATAAACCATTTCAATTTAAATTTAAAATAAAGCCATAAGTAACTATTTTATAAAGAAAATTAAATATTAAATAAAAGTGGCTTAGATTGGTATAATAACGATATTGATATTATACCTATATAATTTTAGTTAGATTCAAAAACATAAAACATCGGCGGTCTCTTTTACGGCGTTTTTGTTTATGCCGCTATAAGTACCGACAAATCTTTTGCTGACGAATTACGAATTACGAATGAAAAAGCTGCCGCTCAACGCAATCTTTATTACCGCCTAGTCCTAGTCGAAAGTATTATTGTGAATTTTATAATTTCTTTTTACAATTGCAATCGTCCGAACTCCGAAATTTAACTTAAGGTAAGTTATAATTATTAATTAATATATTATTTTTATATATGTTACGGCTAATGTGCAAACTTGGATAGTTTATAAACTAGCCAAACTGTCAGCTATTTTAATTGAAAATGTATTTTCAACTAAATTAGCGGCTAGTTTACAAAATAACCAAGTATCTTGGCTAATTTACTTGAAATTATTGGGGAAACCAAAATAGCTGGATAGTTTGTATACTATCCAATTCAATTTGGATAATATGAAAACCAAAATTTCTAGTAACACAAAATAGCCAAGCTTTAGCTAGTTTGTAAACTAACCAACTAATTCTCTGGCTAATTTCGTATCATTTCATTAATCGAAAAAAAATTTTCATCGTTGGCTATTCTAAGCGTAGAAAGCGATTTTCTAGATAAATTACAAATAAATGGTATCATAGATAAGTTTTCGGAAATGAAAATACGTAAAAAAAATTAATTAGTTGTTTATTTTTATTAATTATTATTTATTTTGTTCGCTGTTCCTTAGAAGCTGTTTTTTTATTTTTTTGTTGTGTTATTAATTTCAGTTAGAAATTTTGTTTAAGTATCGTTTAAATATATTTTTAGTTGTTTGTACCAACTAAATAATTAATAATGTATGTTTTTTTTAAATAAATATTTATTTATTTTTTTAGATTTATTATTAGAACAATTTTTTAATTGATTAATTAAAAATTAAATTTTTTTATTATAAACCTGAAGGTGTCAAAGTTATATAGGATATTGATATGGGGGGCGAAGTTTTGCTTGGGCCTTGGGGCCCCACTAAGTCAAAAATAGGCCCTGCTGTTGGTGATTTATAAGAATTTTTTTTTATTAATCGGAGTTTTTTGATTCGAAATTTTTTTACTAAAATGGGTTTTAATTTTTTATGAGAATTTTTGTTTTATTATATTTTTATTTTTTGATTTTCTTCGCTAAAAATTTAAGTCCAAAATTATATATTTTTTTAGTTTGATTTTTTTATTAATAATTTTTTTATTTTTTACTAAAATTGGTTTTTTTTTCCTAAAAATTGAATTTTTATTTTTAACTTTTCACTTTTTTGCAGATTTATTACATATTTATAAAAAGAATTTTTAATAAAACATGTTTTAATCGAATTTAAATTTTTATTTCGATTTTTTTTAATAAAATTAGAATTTTTTTTTTAAGTCGAATTTTTCTTTTTTTATTTTTAATAATAATAAATTGGAATTTTTTTGCCCTAATTTAAATTTTTGTTTTTTTATTCAGATTTATTTTGCAAAATTTGAATTTTGGATTGTTTTATCAAATTTTTTTGTGAATTTGTTTTTTTTTTTTAATAAATATTTATTTGGATTTTTTGTTTTTACTTAAATTAGATTTTTTTACTTTTTTTTTAACCAAAATTGTTATTTTAGTCCATAACCGTTTGTTATACTTTTAGACAACTTATTGCAACATGGGCATTATTGATTTACAATTAAAACGTAAGAAATACATTAATTCTTTTTATTAATAACGTTTTAATTAATTAGGTAATACATAGAAATTAATCAGTCAAAATTCACAACCTCAATCACAGTTCCAATTATTAAAATGGTAAAAATTGTCATCAAATTAAACATTCGACTCTCGTCTTCTTAAAAGTTTATTTTCGTCAGCGCACTTGCTGGTTATAGCCTGTCGCACCATCGGTTCCGGAACGTTGCATTTCTTCACAATGCACTCGATAATGTCATTGACAATTAACGGATTTAATCTAAAATAAAAAAAATAATTTTAGGTCGGATTTATATGCGAAAAAAATAAAAATTAAATGCATAGATATCCGTTCTAAAACACACCTTTTCTTTGTTTTCTTGTTGCTGTTTATGAAAGCAGGGCTCGGTTTTCCGGTCAAGGAGTGCGTTGCCAAAACCTCTCTTGTAAAACAGGTTTTCAACAAGGTTTTGGTGGCAGCGGAATGATTTCCCCATTTTATGGCCTCGTATATTTTGTTCTCCACCTTGGTGCCGTTCGAACCTATAGTAACCTAAAACCAACAATAAATAATAATTCTTTAAATAGTTTAAAAAATTTACCATTTTTTTGTTGTTCTCTTTGTCTACCACATCATTTTCATCTGGGGGGCAAAACTTGGGCTTGATTGGTTTTTTACCATTCCCATCGAAATTTTCGAAGACTGCTAAACTGTCATTCATATTAGTCCTCACCTCTAAAATACCAAAGTAAAATTTTAAATAACACAAAAAACAAAATTAGTAAAGCAGAAGTACCATTTTTTAAATACTAAAAATACTAATGCTGGATTTATGCAGCACAAATTAACATTAAGTTAACATTAAGATTAAGATTAACATTAAGAAGTTAAATAAACGTAATCCATTGGAAGCTTTTATGCAACACATTAACATTAACTTTAGCATTAAGTTAACATTAAGAGATGGCCAACTTTTATCTTCTTAATGGTAATGTTAATTTTATTCCCCCTGCGCAGGTTTGCGGCGCAATTTTTAAATAAACCGTGTCAGTAATGCCAACATACCCGAAAAAAAATTAAACTTACTGCTGAATGATTGATTTTTTATTGTTTTTTGGTTTATTGTTTGACGTGGAGTTTATAGTTTTCATTTATTTTACTTAACAGATGCTAAAACGGGATTAAAACAAAATTCAAACAAACCAAAAATGTCAGATGTCAAAATTACTTTAACTTATACGCATGCTTAATTTTCTACTAATTTTGCTGCATAAATTTATTAATACCCTCCTATTAATGTTAAATTAATCTTAATGTTAAAGTTAATCTTAATGTTAATTTGTGCTGCATAAAATCCACCATAAATCAAACTGGCATAAGCTACCAACTTAATAAAAAAGCACGGTTCCAAATAAAAAAAAATGAACTGTATGTACCTCTAAATAAGTTGCAGAATTTCTGATATTCAGCCTTCATGTCTTCATACTTTTTCTTAATCGTTAAATAATCCCTATTCATCTCTGCAGCTCTATCTTCAGTTTGTGTTTCTTGGTCTCGTAGTATAATGGTTCTGCTTCTATTTAAAGTTGACATGCTTACTTCTGTACCCACCATTGAGGCGTCCTCGTAAACTAATATTATTGAACTCTCATCATTTACATCTTTTCCACTAGCACTAGCACAAGATACATCGGAAGACGTTTCCGATTTCGTGCTTCCCGAACTGTTTCTGTTGAGTTTTCGCTTCTTGGATTTTTTCTGTTCGAGGCCTATGATATTTTTGATGGCATCTTTGCTGTGTTCGTCGACAATTTTCTGCATGTTCGCCTCTAAATAACATTGATCGTCTGATATCGCTATAACGATAGCGGACACTCTTGCTTTGCCCCCGCAGTTAATCTGCACCGAGCTGCCCTTTTGCAGGCTGTCTATGGTTTCCAAAAAATCCGTCACCACATCTTTTTGATTCACCACCTCGTACTCGAATCCGGGCTCGCTGCCCGGAAAATAAACTATCATCCATTGGTTTAAGGGCGGTAGCTCGTTGTCTACATCACCAATTTCTTTTTTGATATTTGATTCTAAAAAATTAAATGTATACATCTTGGAAACTAGTGGTAAATAACTATTGTATTTTATGCAATTGAGAAGTTATACAGGGTGTTTTAAATTCGTGGTCCATTTAAAACATTGATTAAAAAATTCCATGTCAATTCTTTAACATTTTTTAACAAATTACCTTAATAGTACATTATGTATCAAGTTTGATAAACACCATTTTATACACGAATTTAATTTAGGCGAGCGAGCGAGTGCTTAAATTAATGAGTGTATAGAAAAGTTTATAAACGAGGTGCATACTATACTTTTTCTACGACAAATACTTATTATTTTTTTAAAATGATTTAATTCAAAAATTTGTATAGAGCGCCATCTATGAAACAACAGGGGAATTTGTGTGTCACCGTCAAATGTCAAATTTTTGTATTTTATAAACACAGATTATAAAGGTTATAAATCGGAATGTATTTCTTGAAAATTGACAGTTTTTCACAAAGAAAGTAAAGAAAATGTTTTATGAGCACTTTACAGTGGAGTCCATGCCCGAATTTAAGTTATAGTTTACTGCCGGCGAAATTAAAAGGTCAGTACAATGTTCATATAAACTTTTCAAATATTGGAGTTGGGAAACTATTTAATACTTTTGTATTTTTTTATTAAGATAATAAAATAATTTTTACATTTAGTATTATTTTACAAAAAAGGCAATTTATTTTAACGATTGTACCTATGACATTTGACAACTGTCAACTAACTTAAAACTAACTTCAGTGACTAAAAACCTGTTGCTAACTTCAGCCCGTGACTCAAGCGCCATAAAGCTACAACTTGTCAATGTGTATTTAAAAGGTCACTTAGTGTCTTGGAAACTTGTACGATAAAGGGCGTTTTAAAGGTGGGAGTAGAAAAAACAAATTATGTAAAGATAATTCCTGATTTAGATTAAGAAACCTAGCTCTTGGCCCTAATCTTTTGAATCAAAGTAATTTCATTTCTTTTTATTTTTTTCAGTGTGTATATAGTATAAAATATTTTATCTACTCCTACATTGACTAGCTGTGACTTTATGACGTTTTAGTCACGGGCTGAAGTTGGCTTTATTATAAATTAGAGAAAAGTGAGGTTAATTCCGTTGACTTTTGACATATGTCAAATGTTTAACAAATAAAATTGGATTTAAATTCTTCTTTGTGGTCGTCGTAGATAAAGGATAGTATGCAACTCTTATAAACTTATCTATACACTCGTTTTTATTAAACACTCGCTTGCAAGCTTCGCTCGTGCTTAATAAAACTCGTAATTAAAATGGCGTTTATAAAACTTGATACATAATATACTATTAATAACAAAAAGAATGTGCAACTTTAACAATTTAATAAACCAACAATATTTTAGTAAAGAAGAGCAACGTCTAATGGAAAACACTTAAAACATTTAGTAACAAATTAGTTATAAAAATTGTTAATTAAAATATTGTTGGTTTATTAAATTGTTAGTTACGTGTTCTTTTTGTTATTAAAATATTTCATAAAATAAATTTTAAATTTTATTTTCTCCAATGAGCCAGTGCTTTATCTATCCCAACTCACCCGTCAAAAGTTTTTTTGTTACATTTAAAATAAAAAAGTTATTTACCTTTCAAGTTAAATAATTGACATGGAATGTTTTACACAATGTTTTAAGATTACAAAAATTCCACCCCCATATCCGCAAACCTAATAACAAAAAAGTTATTTTAACGAAAACTATTTACTTTAGGAGGACATGTTATAGAATTTTATACCCAAGAAACTTTTAATGGACCACAATTGTGAATCACCCTGTATTATGTATAGTAGATATACATTGTTTTACTGAGACAGATTTTTTACTTCCATAGGGAATTCAGCACTTAAAAAACTAAACAATCACTTTGGAGTTTAAGACAAAATATAAAAAACTTACCCATATTTCTTAAGTTAACACTCGGCACGTTTGTATCCTTCTACGTCGAAGGCTATTCTGGTAAGAGTCTATTTGAAACTTGCCCCTAATTTCCTATAGGACACCCTCCTTCTTCCTTCAATTCTTAGGTATGACTAACGTGTACGAGAAAGAGGGAAAATCTACCTGGATCATAGACCTCCACCCCTACCTGAAAATTTTCTTTTGCCTTGCAAAGATGAGCATTGTATTTTTTCTACGAATTTATATTTATGGGGATTAGCATTTGCCAAATAAGTTTATGGCCTTACAAAAGGGTAGTTAAAATGTTACCTTGTTTACTAGTTTTTGTAAAGTTACCTCTGCTTCGTAAAATTTAAGTAATTTTATGTATTTATTTATTTAAATGCAATATTCAGATTGTATAAAAAACGTATGCAAAAAGAAATATTTGTTTACAAATACAGGGTGTCCCATATAAAAATAAAAACCGTCGATTTTGTAACGGCATTCCTTTCTTTAAATAAACCAATTATTACATATTATTTTAAAAAAACTCAAGGTTTTTTGATTAGACATACCTGCTTATCGCCAAATTTGATAATAACGATTTTTTTAATCAGTTTTACAATGGTAGTCTGTGAGTACAATTCCAAACAATAACAACATGTAAATCAACGCGAAATATTTTCTTTTAATATTTCTATATGAAGGGCGACGTTAGGTACCAGCGATTTGAGAAAAAGCGTTCCAAATCTTTGTCTTTGCTGAAATGGTTTAGAAAAAAGAAAAAGAAAATTGGAAAAATTTTCTTCAATGATGTCGATAGAAGGTTATTCGAACGGTATTACCCGAACGTGTTGTAAAATAAATAAATATTTTTTTGTTCTGTATTATAATAATTATTATGTACATATGTACCACGTCTGGATTTTGCTATAACAATAAAAAATCAAATTAATCATGCCGTGATTTATTATCGTTTATTGGAAACAATACTACTAAATTTTTGTGCTATGTATAGTCTAAGTTAAATTCAATTAAAAATGGAAATCTAACGCATACGAATTAATTTTAACTGATGTGGTACAGTTCAATTTGAATCCTTGACTTCCTATTAATTTGTTTTTATTATTGAAACCATTGTTTTATTGTCGATTTAGATCAGTTTTGTTTAATTCAAGATAGATTTTCAGTAAGGCATCTATGCGTAAATAATTTTGTGCGTTTGTTAATAATAAAATGGCCCAAATTGATTTGGTGGAGCCCTATGATGATAACGAGTCGTTTAGTACCGAATCAAAGTAAGTAAGAATTTTAACCAGTTGCAAGATAAAATCTAAAGTAATTCACGTGTGTACAAACAATTCCGTTTTTCGCTGGAAAGTACAACCGTGTCAAAAGTAACACATTTATGAATAATTATCATAATATACAGTGTTGGCCATAATATTTGAAACCACTGTAAAAAAATCTAACTAAACGCCTTTATTATTCTTTATGAAATTTTGGATAAAAATACTTCAACTTATATCTCAGTTTACGTGTTCGAGGGTTTTTCGAGACAATATTTTTAAACCCTTTTATTTAATAATGAAAAAACGTTCGAAAAATAACTTTTAAGGTAATTTTTTTTAAGTAAATAAAAAATATGCTGTTAAAGACCGTTTTGTTAGTATACCCTGAAAATTTTGTACAAATCAAGTGAACGCAACGAAGATACAGCGATTCAAAGTCGTCGAAAATGACCACTTTTCAGCAAAATAATCAAAGGTATACTAAAGAAAAATAAAGGCGTTTTAGAGTTAGATTTTTTTTACAGTGCTTGCAAAATTATGGCCAACACTGTACCATTGAGTAAGACCTTACTCAATGACTGTACATTAAAATAATAAATTAATAATAAAATAACTTCATAATATGATTATGTTAAGAAAATATTTTATCCTTTGATTTTTTTATAACTGTAATTGCAAAATATTATCACATATTACACGGAAAATATAGGTACAAAAAGTGACAGTTATATTTATTGGAATTTTATCCCTTAAAAATAGGCCAACAATCGATATAGATGCAGTTTTTCACAGTAAAAGAGAAGATAATGTTTATGGGCACTTTAACGCTTTATTAGTTAAATCTAGTTAACTCAGTTAACTAGAGTTAACTTAACTACACTACTACGGCGAAATCAAAAGGTCATTACAAACGTTCATATAATCTTTTCAAATATTGGCGTCAAGAAAATATTTAATAATTTTGTATTGGGATAATATTTTATCTAATTTCGGTTGAAGACTCCATCGTACATTGCCCATATAACATTCTCTTCACTTTCACTGTGAAAACCTGCTTCTATATCGGATTTAAACGATTTTTAGTAGATTTTCAAGATATGTACACTGCCGTGCTTAATGAAAACGCCGTAACCAACAATTTTGCGATTTTTGTTTTACGGCATTTTCTACTAGAACAATTCATCCTGTGTCTATCCCCGGTACTCAAAGAACCGTATATATATAAATACGGTTTTTTGAGTACCGGGGATAGACGCAGGATGAATTGTTCTAGTAGAAAATGCCGTAAAACAAAAATCGCAAAATTGTTGGTTACGGCGTTTTCATTAAGCACGGCAGTACACTAGGGTGGTTCTTATTTGACCGATGTCGAAATTTTAATCGTGTCACCCCCTCGTTTGCTTTTAAAACATATAAAAAAATGTATGCCAAATTTGAATGTCCTAACTTATTTCCTTCTATTGCCTATAACAACGAGAAGTTTTCCAGATAGAGGATTTTTGCCTTTAATATATTAATTTTTAAAATTACTATTAATCTATGAAAAAGTATAATTTTTTGAGAAAATGTATAGGACATAAGTTACTTTTAAACAAAAAAAAAGAAATCATGTATTTTCATCCTAATGATTAAATAATTTTAATATAAAATACGAATAGATAACTATTAAAATGAAATTTATGCATTGAAAAAAAAACAGCGGTTCACAAAACATTTGAAAAAAATAAGAACGTTTCAAAACCAAAAATCGTTATAACTTTGTTATTCCTGGGAAAAAAGTAATTTAATTTAATTTGTTTATTGAGATCCATTATGAACAAATTTTTTATTAGGATACATATCGCACATGGGCGACAACAGTGTCATAAGTAGTAAAACGAAAATTCCGATATAAGTTTACGTAAAAGATTTTTGAATAATAAAATTCTGACATTTTTGTAAAATTATATTAACTTACAGTGTAAAGTTAATATAATTTTACAAAAATGTCAGATTTTTATTATTCAAAAATCTTTTACGTTAACTTATATTGGAATTATCGTTTTACTACTTATGACACTGTTGTCGCCCATGTGCGATATGTTTAACCAATAAAAATGCATTACACGCAATATTCTGTCAACTATTGCCTTTGACAATCGACAGATTTAAGACTTAAGTTTATGAAGACACTTGCTCTTATTGTGACATAATATACTAAAAAAGCATCGCTTATAGTAAATAGCCAAATTATTTTATAACCTTTAATTGCATATTTAATTATTTAGGATCAAGATTATGGAGTTTATTATAGTTATTATTACAATAACAACAATTATTGTAATCTTGTGGTGCATTAAATTCATTTGTAAATATTTACTGAAGTTTTAAATTTTAGGAGTTTTCATTTTATCTTATTATATTTAATTTATAAAAAACGTCTCATACTCATATAGATTAGTTTTATTATTTAACCACTTATACAATAGTAAATATCGACTGTTTATAAAATAAGTACATTGGCGTATCTACAATAAAATTTTTGCCTTTTTCTATGACGTGAGGTATATATAAGCCCGTTCTCTATTGCGCTATAAACATTTATTTTTGATAAAAAATACGCCTATGTACTTTAACCGATTAAAAGACAATAAAAATATACTATTATTAGGTACTATTTTAATAGTAATTTTTACTCATTATTTATACGTTTAGTGTTAGATTAAATCAGTCTAAAGAAACATGGGGTGAGATAAAAATAGTAATTAATTTGTTATATTTTCAATTACAATATTTTTCAGAGCATCCAAAAAAGAGAAAGAAAAAGAACCGAGCCTGAAATACCACAAATTGGTAAGCAAAACAAATTTTTAATAATTTTTAACAATTAAATGTATGTTTTTTAGTTTCGATTCGCAACAACCTTAGATAAACTATGCATAGCATTTGGAATCATATGCTCAATAATATCTGGTGCAGGGCAGCCTTACATGCTGATATTATTTGGAGATGTAACCGGTAAAAAGTGTTATGTAAAATGAGAAAAATGAACCAACAACCACTACACTTTAAGTGTCTTAATTTAAGTTTTTTCAATCGGTTTTTCTCATTCTTTAAAACTATAATTTTATTATGCTTTATAACTTGATAATATGTTCAAATCTTTTTAGGAGCCGTTGTTACATACGCGACAAATTTATACAACGAAAGTCTGACCACTTCAGATTGGGAAGGGTTGAACGACATATTATACAGTGAAGTTCAAAGATTTGCAGTTATAAACGCTTTGATTGGTCTGGTGACTGTGGTAACGACTTATTTGGCAGGCATTTCCTTTGCTTATAGTGCCACCAGACAAGTTTGTGCAAAAAAAATTAAAATGTAGGTTATTTATTATTTTTCGTAGGTTTTCAGGATACGGCAAGCGTTTTTGGAGAAGACTTTAAATCAGGACGTGGGATGGTATGATGTTCATCAGACTGGAGATTTTGCCAGCACCTTTACAGAGTTTGTATATATATATATATAGGTTTTTATTTATAGGTACCGTAGAACACCGTGTGCTTGTTTATATTTCCTTGTTAGCCTATAATTTAAAACAAATATTCACTACTAGATGTAAAAACTTTTAGTTGAGCGTTCAATGAAGTATCTGTCTCTTAAGCGTTCTCCAAATATTTCGAAGTATTTAAATATGGCCGGCCATATATGAGCGTCCTGTCCGTACTTTTTTGTACACGTTTTCTTGAGAGGTGGATTGGCAGACGAGGACCGATAGAGTGGCCAGCGGAATCTCCAGACATCACTCCTCTCGATTATTTCTTATGAGGCTACCTTAAATCAAAGGTCTACGTGCTCAATTAAAAAGCAAAATCTACGTGTTCAAGCATTTTTTGGGGACTATTTGCCTTGTCTTAATTTCCACCAATCACAAACGCGCAATTTTGAATTACAAATGGTTTCTAGGTAAAAAAAACTGTGTGACAGCACCTGCAGTTTTTTCGAGTTTACCCGCGGCAAAAATTGACAGCTGTTGTCACCAAAAATTGCAATTTATATTTTAATTGTTAACTGTTACTCATGAAATAGTCTTGTCAAATACCATTCGGGCATCTAATTTTTCCTGTGAAAAAAATCGAAAAAACACAATGCTAAGTAATATTTTTGAACAAAATGCATTCGTGCAGGTGCAAAAATCCTCCTCTTCGACTCGGATTTTTGTTGCCACCAGCACTCATGCAGCATGAGTCATGCTTCTTGTTAAAATATTACTTAGCAACGTGTTTTTTCGATTTTTTTTGGAAAAATTAGATGCCCTTATGATATTACTTACGAAAAAATACTTTTGCCGGTTACTATGATACCTACACTCTAATTTACACGAAATTGTTATTTTTTAGTAATATCGCCAAAATCGAGGATGGTATAGGCGAAAAAATCGGCCTTTTCGTATTTTTCGAATCGACCTTTGTGGTTGGTGTCATTATGGCTTTATTCTTAGGTTGGAAACTCGCCTTGGTTTGCATAGTTTCTTTACCACTATCCACTTTAGTGATGGGACTAATTGCCTGGGTATGGAAAGTCATCTTCCAAACATCTCGTTTATAAAAAACCCATTTCAGTTATCCACGAAATTCTCCAAACAAGAAATGGAGTCTTACGGAGCGGCTGGCGCAGTCGCAGAAGAAGTTTTGAGTTCGGTAAGAACAGTGGTGGCCTTCGACGGCCAACAAAAAGAACTGGACAGATACAACGAACACATAATAAAGGCTGAAAAAAACAACATCAGAAAATCCTTTTTTACCTCCCTTAGCAACGGTTTCCTTTGGTTTTTCACTTTCGGTAACATTGCTCTCGCCTTTTGGTACGGAGTTACCTTGGTCATCGAGGAATCTGGCCTGCCGCCTGATCAAATCACCTACACCCCAGGAAATATGATTTCCGTAAGAAATGTTGAAGTTAACCTTTGTGCACTTAATTTACTATTTCTTAGGTATTTTTCGCCACGCTTACCGCAACCTGGAACTTTGGAATGGGAACGCCATTTTTAGATACCTTTGGTAGTGCCTGTGGTGCTGCTCACAAAGTGTTCAATATTTTGGACAGCGAACCAATAATAAACAAATCCAAGCAACGTGGTATAAAACCGAGAGCGTTCAAGTCTGAAATTACGTTTGAAAACGTGCATTTCAACTACCCTTCAAGACCGGACGTCAAGGTACTTCGTTATATTTGCAATGGGGCACTTGTTATATTTTGCATTTTAGATATTACAGGGCTTCAATCTAAAAATTAAACATGGAGAAACAGTGGCACTGGTAGGAAGCTCTGGCTGTGGAAAATCCACTTGCATCCAGTTGATACAAAGGTTCTATGATGCAGCATCTGGAAAAGTATGTGAAGGGTAACTTTAAATACGTCCGATTAAACTGTAAAACTGTCTTGTAGGTGTTGCTGGACAACCACAACCTAAAAGACCTAAACCTGACCTGGCTGAGAAACAAAATAGGCGTAGTAGGCCAAGAACCGGCCCTCTTCGCTACAACGATCGAAGAAAACATAAGATACGGCAGGCTGAACGCTAACTACACGGACATAGAGAAAGCTGCCATAAAAGCGAACGCGCACAAATTCATTTTGAGCTTGCCGCACGGTTATCAAACTGTCATTGGGGAGAGAGGAGCGCAACTATCCGGAGGACAGAAACAGAGGATCGCGATCGCGAGGGCTTTGGTCAAAAATCCCGATATTTTGCTGTTGGATGAGGCCACTTCCGCTCTGGATACCACCAGTGAGGCGGAGGTCCAGGAATCTCTGGATTCTGTAAGAACCCTCTTTGTATTGAAAAATATTACTAAAAATCACCCCCATGTTTTAGATCAGTGGGGAATGCACCACAATCATTGTAGCACATCGTCTTTCCACCATCAGGAAAGCCAACCGAATAATTTTGGTATCTCAAGGTAAAGTGGTAGAGGAAGGAAGTCATGGAGAGTTAATGGAGCTTAAGGGGGAGTATTTCAATTTGGTAAACTCCAACAAAGTTGATGAAACTCATGATATAAAAGGTTTAACAGGTAGAATAGTAAATTTAGACATGATAATTTAACATTTTTTTAGATGAACACGTTCGAGAAAGAACAACAAGTCTGTCAAATCAATCTCAAACTTCCAATGACAATGACTTGGTTAAAGAATCAGAGGTAACACTTGGACAAACGGTCATACAATAAGGATGTCCTGTTTTAAAGTTCTTTGGTATTGATTGTAGAGAAGGACACCCTTATTGGAGGACCCATTACTTAAAGAATGCACCTGTAGCACTTTTTCATGCAATTTTAGGTTGTTTTTGAGGACGAGACCAGCGAAGGCAGCCTTTGGAAAATTTTGAAGATGAATTCCCCTGAATGGTTCCTCATAGTGATTGGTTGTTTAGCTTCTATAGTGGGCGGGGCGTGTTTGCCAGTGTATTCGCTTGTTTTTGGTGATATTGTAGGGGTAAGTTACAATATAAACCGACATGTTTAAGACATTTACACGATGCATTCCCAGGTTCTTTCATTTAAAGACAACGATAGGATGGAATCGGATGCCAATGTATATGTTTTGTATTTCTTGACGATTGGTATAGTCAGTGGTGTTGGATTGTTCTTACAAGTAAGTTAATATACAAATTTTATGGGGTATATTTTTGACAAAGGCACTCTACTACATCTAATAACTTTAAGATGTTTGCCTTTGGAGTGGCTGGAGAAAAACTGACGCTGCGAATAAGACACAAAACCTTCGCATCGATGCTGAACCAAGAAATGGCTTGGTACGATAGAAAAGAAAACGGAGTAGGTGCGTTGTGCGCCCAATTGTCTGGGGATGCGGCCAAAGTTCAGGGCGCTGCGGGAGTTCGAATTGGAGCCATTCTAAACTCAATGTCGACCTTCATTTTATCCTGCACGTTTGCTTTGTTTTACGATTGGAAGTTGGCGTTGGTGTTCCTTTCTTTTGCCCCTCTTATTCTGTTTTCCATTTGGTTCGAGAGAAAAACCATAACGGGCGACGCCAAGCAGAACCAAAAGGTCTTGGAGAGGTCGTCCAAAGTAAGTTTTACCACAATGGTTTACAACATCTGGATACAACTTGATGTAATGGGGTAGTTAAATTTTTTCTGACCTATACTTTTTATGGTTTTATTCAAGGCATTTTGTAATATTAAACATTTCTGTGAAATCAGAATTTCAATTGAGTTTACCGTTTTCGAGATATTTACAAAAAATATAAATTTTTATGACGTCACAAACCTCGCCATGTGACCAACATTCTAAGATTTCTATTGGTTGAAAATTACCCTGTTGTCAAGTCGTCTTGTTAATGATTTCATTCGGTTATGTCAGAAAATACCCGAAGAGGTTGTGTCACTGTCAGTTGAGTGAAAGATGGTCACCAAATTCATTAAGTACCTATCTTCCTTATTACGAGGTATCATATTACTGTTTGATATTTTAGAGTCCAAGATATATCTAAAAGAATATAAAGAACCAAGCATTATGCTAATGAAATGCATTTACGACAAAATATGATTATAATTATAGGTACATACTTTATTTGTTTAAAAGCTCCAATGTTCAATGTAACCAACCATTCCACAAGATTCCTCTGCTTTGGAGTCCGTTATTAATAAATCACTTATCTAATATCAATTACAAATAACATAATAATAACATTGATTTTCAATAATCTAAATTAAAAAAAACATAATCCGAAAAAAAGAAACGTCAAAAAATCAATTCTTCTTCTTCTTCTCAACTAAAATTATAGATCAAGTGGTTTTAAAACTAAAATATTTTAACGTGGCGCCATCTATCGTAAGAATCTTAAACTAAACACACTGGCAACCATAGAAAAAGCTGACAACGTTGTCAATAGCCTAGTGACGTAATTAGGAGATTTTTTTTTGTAAATATCTCGAAAACGGTAAACTCAATTGAAATTCCGATTTCACAGAAATGTTTAAAATTACAAAACGCCTTGAATAAAACCATAAAAAGTATAGGTCAGAAAAAATTTAACTACCCCATTATAGATTGCAGTGGAGGCAATTGGTAATATAAGGACGGTGGTATCTTTGGGCTGCGAAAAGGTATTTTACGATCAATATGTCAACGAATTGGCGCCCTATCAGAAGATGTCGAAGAAAAAGTCCCACTATCGAGGCTTGGTTCTAGGCTTGGCCAGAAGTCTAATGCTGTTTGCTTACTCAGCTGGCATGACCTACGGAGCCCAGTTGATTGTAAGTCGAGAACAGGAATACGCCAATGTATTCAAGTAAGTTTAAATCAGTTACTTTACTTCCCTTAATGCACATTTAATTTAGAGTTGCAGAAGCAGTGATAACAGGATCTTGGTCCATAGGAAATGCTTTATCTTTCTCACCCAACTTCGCGCAGGGTTTAAGTGCTTCTGGGAGAATATTTTCTCTGTTAGAAAGGATACCTTTAATCAGAAGCATCAATGTTGCGTCATCAAATCTTTGGGTAATATACTACATTGTACCATGTACATTTTTAACAATATCATTTAGGCAAAAAGCAACATAGACTACTTCCAAATATTCTTCTCCTACCCCACCAGACCATCGGTCTCGGTACTGAACGGCCTGGACCTTTCCATCATGGAAGGAAAAACCGTGGCCTTGGTCGGATCGAGCGGCTGTGGTAAATCCACCATAGTCCAGTTACTGGAAAGGTTCTACGATCCTGGTTACGGTGAAATCAGCGTCGACGGTGACGATACCAGGACGATAGACTTAAAGTGCCTCAGATCTCAGATTGGGATTGTATCTCAGGAACCGAACCTTTTTGACAGAACCATAGCGCAGAACATTGCCTACGGGGCTAACGACAGGAAAGTTCCCATGGAGGAAATCATCGAGGCTGCTAAAGCCGCCAATATACACAACTTTATAAACTCGTTGCCATTGGTACGATTTTAGTTTCGATTTTGTTACACTTTACGAAGGGGTTCTTTTTGTAGAAATACGAAACAAGGCTGGGTTCAAAGGGTACTCAGCTATCCGGCGGTCAAAAACAAAGAATAGCCATAGCAAGAGCCTTGGTGAGGAATCCCAGGATTCTTCTATTGGATGAAGCCACGTCTGCCTTGGACAATGAGAGTGAAAAGGTTAACCATTAAAACATGCTTTATAAAATCTTAAACTGACGTTTCTTCTAGATCGTTCAAGAGGCACTCGACAACGCAAAACAAGGTAGAACATGTATAACAATCGCGCATCGTTTAACCACGATTAAGGATGCCGATGTCATTTGCGTTTTAAGCGGAGGCAAAGTAGCCGAAATGGGAAAACATCCAGAATTATTGGCCAAAAAAGGTCTTTACTATAAGTTCTACAAACTACAGTCTGGACATTAGTGTTAAATGCAGATGGCAATGAGATCTACTTTTTTCACTGTGTATATTTAAATATACTATTCTAAAAAATAAACAATACAATTAAAAATTGTAGTTTATCTATTTTGCGTTCATAATGACTTCATTATAACAACGCTTTCGGTGCTGTAATGAGATACTTTATCCCACCCAAAATTTTGATTTTATAGGTTGGCTATACAGCATAATATTTTGCATATGGATTATAATACCCAACACCAAAAAAAATCCTTTTTTTCTTCTTTAACATTAACAGCCGCTTATTGTAAATAAGTAAATTAAGGACGGCATGGCGAGTCGATTTTGACATTAACCAATGACTGTGATACCAACTATCTAAAGTAAAATTCGACCAAATTAAATTTAAGATATAAAATTATTTTTTTTATAGAATTTTTGCAAAATAGATAAAATAGCATAAAGAACTCATGTCATAAGACCTTTTGTCGCTCGTTTAATAAATTGTCCGCGTGCGACAAAATGACGTCTTATGACATTAGTTCTTTAATTTTACTATTTTAACATAGAATTTCGTGATTTGGAAATTACTGAGACGAGTTCTGTGATAAAAAAATTAATCAAGAACCTTCATTAAAAAAATTATATCGCTATTTTTAAGAGTTTTTTAAGTGTTTAAAGTGCTGAATTTTTAAAAAAGATTAAAAATGTCTACTTTTTTTTGTACTATTACGTGAACAACAATAACTTATCTAAAATTATCGTTTTAACCTTAAATAATCACACACTTATATACATATATGCAAAAATAATGTTAAAAATAAATTAGCATTTATTTTCTAAAAAATATATTAACAACTCGAGGTAAATTTAAGTACCTAAATCAAGAATGGATTCATTAAATTCATGATGTGGTACTTGACATTAAGCATCCCATCATGTTGTAGTTTTATCAGATATATACGTATATCCATATCGATAAAATTCAAATTTTTAGTGAAATAATCAGAACTTGTTGTTTTAATCAATTTCGATTGTTTTAACTGTGATCATTCGGTGGTGAAAGTTGTGGTTAATGTTTAGTAGCAGTTTTATCCTTTTAACCTAGGTAAAATTTGTATTATTTATCTAGTGGTGTTGTCTTTATGTTTAATTTTTTCAAACAAATGATCCAACTCATTTTTGCACTTAAGATAGTATTAAAATAAAAACACATTTTTTGTGTGTACTGCTTCTTGCTCTTGGCTGACTTCAAAGAAGATTCAGGTGCTCCTTTTCAGTACTGAAAATTCAGCCCTATTCGCCGTCTCATAAAAAAGCGTTCATCAGTATTTGAAGTACACAACATTAGTTAAGTTTCGTTCAACAATGGCTTACGGTAGTCCAGGATAAATATATACATATTTGGCTATTTATAGATTTAAAAAAATTGCATTGATCCAGCACATGATAACCAATTGCAATTAATAAAGTGTTTTGAGTCGTAAAATAAATTTTATTTATTAAAATGAATAGTAAGATTTACTATTTTTAAATTTGTCCAATTTAAAACTCAAGTATTTGATTAAAACTAGTATACTTAATCAACCCAATAAATATAAAAATACACGATGTAGAGAAATGTTGCATTTTTTCAGCTGAAATATTTACAAAGGTTTTGTGGAAACAATGCAAATAAGACCTTTTAAATAAATAATATGTTTTTTAATAGATACAATTCAATAAAGTTAAGACGAGTCCACATAAAATATTAATTAATGCATTTTTTTATTGAAATACTCACTTAAGATTTTTGTTGTAGGAATTTGATGATAGATAACCTATTTTTGTATATTTTGTTTATAATTGTTTATCTTGTTACACGAGCATTTTGATAATTATTGATTATAATCAATAAATACTTTTTCAGAGCGTCATGACAAAAGGATATGATTTGGAAGATTTGGGGAAAAAAGAAAAGTAATGCAAGTAAAGAAATCTATTATAAAAGTGCTAATTTACGTTTTTTTTTTTAGTAAAAATGAGGTTGGAGATACTTTAACAGATTTGCCAGTAAGTCAAGCTTAATTTATGTTAAAATGGTCCAGAAAATATACTGGCGGAGTTTTAAAACACTCATTTTCATATTTTTATTTATTCAATTTATTTAATTATTAAATATAAAATTAGTACTTTTTATTTAATTACTTTGGTAATTTAAATAAAAACATTTTTATTTATACCCTTTTGTATAATTACTGTTAAAACTAAGGTATTCTAGGGATTTTTTTTAACAAAGGGACTTTTAAAGTGACAATGTTGGAAACACTGCGTAAAATCATAAAATAATTATTAAATTATTATTTAACTAGAAAATATACTAAAAAAGCTTGATTAAGCTAATTTAAAAAAAAATTGACGTTTGATAAGGCAACTTAAAATTATAAAAAGGCAACATTAATCTAAAAAAAATAAATTAAATCAAATTTTTTTTTTAAACAAAAATTGGCCCCAAAAACTAAATTTTATTGCATTATTCATAAATATAAATTATTTTGAGATATCAATTGACAATAATTTACAATAAATTACGGTTTAAAATTGTAATACGCCCCTGAACATAGGTATAGTGAAAAATATTTTTATCGTGTTATTACTTGTAAGCAAAACAAATTGAATGCCTATTAATATGCAAATATTTATTTTTGTATCAAAAGTATGCGAATTTTATTTTAAGGGGCATTTAAAATTGTAATACGTGTTAATCACCAATTGGAGTTACCGAAACAAAATATACAACACATGTATATTTCATTATTATTTAAAATCTCGTTCAAAATTAATATATTCTAAGCAATAATGAAGTTTGATTTATTTAAGGACGATTTGGCCAAAGGGAAATTCGACTTGAACGCAAAATTAAATATAACCGAATTGTAAGTTTAAAGAAAACCCCTAGGTAAACATAATAATAATAATATTACAATTTTTTATTGCCTTTAGTGAATCAGATGAAAGAAAAGCACAAGAACATAAAGAAAAAGTGGTGAAGCCCCCTGAAGTTCCACCTGTATCTTTTCTTGGTTTGGTAATATTAAATTTAAATTATGTTTTTGTATTATCATCATAATCATTATCATCGTTGGGCACTTCATGAAACAAAAAATAACTTTTGCATCTCTTATTTTTTTAGTATAGATACGCAACATGCGGCGAAAAAATACTCATGATCTTCGGTGTCATATGCACGGCCGGCTCAGCCGTGCTAACGCCTCTGCAAACGCTGGTGTTCGGAAATCTCCTAGGAGAACTGGTGTCCTTCGTGCAAAATAGTAACGATTCCAACAAGGATCAAACCCAAGTGAAAGACCAATTGATAGACGCCTTTAGTCATTTCGCTGTTGCAAACAGTTTGATTGGCTTGGGAACGTTCGTTTTTACTTACTTGGCCACCGAAATTTTTAACTATGCTGCATTAAAATCCGTACGTATCAAAGTTTCAAATTGGGAATGAGGTTCCGCAAGGTTCGAACCTGGGACCCTTTTGGTTTTTAATATTAATACATGATTTACCGAGTACCACATTAGAAATATTCCCCAACACCAAAACAAATAAACTGCCAAGATTGTGACAAGTACTTTAAGCACTTTGTGTTTTGTTTTGGTGTTGGGGAATATTTCCAATATTTGTTAAACATATCACCAAAGTTGTCCTTTTTCAAGTATAAGTACCACATTGCTAAAACATGCAATTTTAGATCATTAGAATAAGATCCACATACTTTAAAAAGGTTTTAAATCAGGATGTATCTTGGTACGATGTGAATCAGACTGGAGATTTTGCTAGCAGAATGTCAGAGTAAGAAATATTCCCTTAACCGTTACTTTAATAAAACATAACCTATGGTTATTTTTTAGAGATTTATTAAAGCTGGAAGACGGTATAGGCGAAAAAGTACCAAATTTTCTGAACTCCCAATTCATATTCATCTCGTCTCTGATATTGGCCATGGTTAAAGGTTGGGAGTTGGCATTGATTTGCCTCACTTCATTACCACTGAGTGTATTTGCTATTGGGATAATTTTTTTCGTAAGTTAACAATCTTCTCTGATCAACTTTCACAGATTTGTATTACAGTTTACATCACGGTTTGGCAAAAAGGAACTGGAAGCTTACGGAAGCGCCAGCGCCATAGCGGAAGAAGTTCTTACTTCAATAAGGACAGTTGTGGCTTTCGGCGGTCAGCATAAAGAGATGCAAAGATACACGGAAAAACTCAACGTTGCGAAAACGATGAACATCAAAAAGGCGAAATTTTTCGCATTCGGTTTCGGTTTATTGTGGTTCTTCATCTACGGAAGTTACGCTTTGGCGTTTTGGTACGGCACCAAGCTGGTAGTGGACAGACTTAATGGAGGAAATGATGTTTACACGCCTGCCACAATGATAACGGTATAACTGATTTGTTTTATTTACTATATTTATAGTTACAATGTATTATTCCTTTAAAAGGTTTTCTTCAGTGTTATGACTGGTAGCATGAACTTTGGAATGTCTTCGCCATTTATAGAAGCTTTTGGTGTCGCTAGAGCTGCAGCAGCCAAAATTTTCCAAGTCATAGATAACGAACCTATCATAAACGCATCCAAAAACAACGGAGAAAAAATTGAAAACCTCAAGGGAAACATCCAGTTCAATAAAGTTTCTTTCAATTATCCATCGAGAAAAGCTGTGCAGGTAATAACATATTATTATACCCAACCATTCGCTACCATAATTATAATTTAGATTTTGAATGGTTTGACATTTGATATAAAAGCGGGACAGACAGTGGCATTAGTAGGAAGTTCGGGTTGCGGTAAATCGACTTGTATACAGTTACTGCAAAGATATTATGATCCTTTGGAAGGAGAGGTGAGTTGTCATTTTACAAATTAACCACACAAAATACACTTATTTTTTCACCAAAAAAGGTAACAATAGATGGGAAAAACTTGAAAGACCTCGACTTGACTTGGCTTAGAAACAACATCGGTGTGGTGGGACAGGAGCCAGTTCTTTTCGGGACAACAATATTGGAAAACATCAAGTACGGCAAGCAGGACGCCACCCAGGAGGAAATTATCGTAGCCGCAAAGAAAGCCAACGCTCACGAGTTTATTAAAAACTTGCCCAATGGATACAACACTTTGGTGGGAGAAAGAGGTACCCAATTATCGGGAGGACAAAAGCAAAGAATCGCCATCGCTAGAGCCTTGGTGAGAAACCCTTCCATTTTGCTGTTGGACGAGGCCACGTCTGCTTTGGATAATAATAGCGAAGCCAGAGTGCAAAAAGCTATTGATTCGGTAAGTAAAAATGTCCTAAACTGATGTTACCTTTTTACCATCCATCAAGAACATGTCTCATCATTTTTATATGTAATAGAAGCTTCCTTATAATACAAAAAACCCAAGACTCTAGTTGAGACAAAGCTTTTTTTTACTGTAACAAACGGGGCTAAGGGGGGCACGTTAATAATTAGAAAAGAATATTAAACCCACAAAAAACTACCTTTGGTTTTTACCCGTGACTGTCTAGTTTAAAGAAATTAACCTTTTTTGTTGTGAATACGGTTCTGGATACGTAAGTATTTGGGCGATTAAAAAGATATTTAAAAGCAAAGAAAAAGTATTAAACTAAAATAAGTTTATGCATTTATACAAGACTTAATATTATTGCTACTGTGCATTAATAATATAAATCAAAATATTTAGATTTGAAATGTATCATCGATTTAAGTTAATAGGGTAAAACCTTAAAAACCCACATATACAATCCAGACAACTTTTGTTTGTTTGTTTGCTAAGATTATTCACCTACATAAATGATAGGCTCGGACGGTGTAGAAAAGCAAATACAAATTAAAACAATTATCAATGTACAGCACCAAAAAACAATAATATAATACATAAAGTATAATATAACTCAGGTCGCAAACAACAATAATAAATGGTAGTTGTATAAATAAAATATATAAATAACAAGTGGTACAATAGTGGACAACGGTAATGCAATTTATTTGTAGAGTCATAAAAACAAATACAATCAGGTAATCAAGTAATAAAAACATATCAGTGCAAATCAAATATAGCAAAATAACATGATTATCACAAGACACTGAAACAACAACTTCATATCAATAACCCTAGCTAACCATTCTTGGTCAATCTAAGTTGGTTAAATGGTAATTATTGGCGATTGTCAAAGCAAAGCTGTATCCACCGTACTTACTAGAAACCATTAACAAAGTTCCCTAAATAACTCATTTGATATGCAGAACTTGAAACAAAGTCTCACCATATTAAATGATCTATATCAATTTATCAAATAAATAAAATAAGATAAACTGTACAAAATAAAGTATGTAAATGTTAAATATAAATATGTAGTAAAAGAATACATTACAATACAATATAATATGTTAAAGTAAATGTAATGTAAATATAATTTGGTTTGTCCGTCCACAACCATTAAGATACAAAGTTTTGCTTATTCCTTCTTTTACAAAGAACAAGCTGAAATAAGAATAAAATATAGTTTAAATTAAATATTAACTAATTAACCACTCATTATAATATATGTGTCAAAATTATATAAACATACCTATATATAATAAGTATACCACTATTTATAACACCAACTGATTTTATATTTAAACATTGAACTTGGTTATTCAAGATTAAATTCACTCCCTTACAATAATTAAAGAATTCAACTATTCTCTTGAAACATCCAACCCTAACTGATTAAAATCTTTTGTCTTATCTAGGTTTCCTACGCGTTTTTTTAATGTTTATTTCTAAGACTAGAAACTGTACCAAAACTTGCTTATTTGGTCGTTCTATAACGACCACTTTATACTACCGAATGATAAAAATTAACTGCCCCATATATCGTTCCCATTACATTACATAAGAAAATATAAACTATGTTGTAGGTTAGCAAATTCTGCACAACCATCATAGTGGCCCATCGTTTATCGACAATCCGCGACGCAGACCTGATCATCGTGTTGTCCAAGGGCGAAGTGGTCGAACAAGGAACCCACAAGGAACTGATGGAGCTAAAGGGAGAATACTTCATGTTGGTGACCACGCAGGTGAGCTCCAGCGCTCCTCCTTTGTCACCAACCGAGGAAGAAGAGAGCCCGCTCTTTGACGACAAAAGGATGTCGGTGTTGGTGGACAGGAAGGAGATCGAGCTGAGTTACGACGACGAAGTGCGCAGTAACGACTCGTTCTGGGCGATTTTCCGGAAGCACAAGCCCGAGTGGTTTCAGCTGTGTTTGGGCAGTTTGGGCGCCATCGTGATGGGATGCTCTATGCCGACGTTTGCTGTTTTACTCGGCAATATCATGAAGGTGGACGCCATTGAAGATCTGTGTGCTCAATTTTCATTCATTTATATTCCAGGTACTCTCAGAACCAAAAGACCAAATCCAAGACGACGCCAACATTTACTGCATAATGTTTGGTGTGGCAGGTATGATTGCCGGAGTTGCAACATTCGTCCAGGTTTGAATTAAATAGCAATATCAAGAACTGAACGCTAATAATTTTTTTATAGATTTTCTTATTTACCAACGCAGGAGAACAGCTAACCAAAAGAATAAGAATAGAGATGTTCGAAGCTATGTTAAGACAAGAGATGGGGTTCTATGATAGAAAAGAGAACGGCGTGGGTGCTTTGTGTTCTAGGTTGTCTTCTGAGGCTGCCCAAGTCCAAGGGGTAAGCAATATGTTTGATATTAATCTTTATTACCTTATTTTATATATTTGTTATAGGCTACCGGACAACGTATAGGCACCATTCTACAATCAATCTCAACTCTGAGCTTGTCCATAGGTTTGTCCATGTATTACGAGTGGCGGTTGGGATTGCTGGCCTTGGCCTTTACACCGGTGATATTAATTGCCACGTTTCTGCAAAGAAAACAAGCGGGCAACGAAGAAAAGGATGGAAATAGCTCTCTGGAAAAATCAACAAAGGTACGGACACTGTTTAATGTTTAAACGAAGATAACTTGTTTCTTGTAGTTGGCCGTGGAGGCAGTATCTAATATAAGAACCGTCCTATCTTTGACGTGCGAAGAAACCTTCCATACGTTGTACATGGAGGAGTTGATAAAGCACAACAAAAAACAACTTAGAAACAGCCACGGTAGAGCTATAGTGCTATCTCTGTCCAGGAGTATTATGTTCTTTGCTTACTCAGCCTGCATGTATTATGGTGGTTTCCTGGTCAGGGACGGATTAGATTACTCCAAAGTGTTCAAGTAAGCTTAGTTCGAAGGTTTTATTTTTATGATGCAACGATTTTTATTGCAGGGTATCGCAATCCTTAATTATGGGTACCATGTCCATAGCTAACGCTTTGGCTTTTACACCGAATCTGCGTAAAGGTTTCATCGCCATTGAAAGAATCACGCAACTGTTGGAGCGTGTTCCTAAAGTTTCCGATGTAGCAAAACCAGTGAATGTTAATATGGTAAGAATAGTGAAAAAATGTCGAAGCACATTGAATAAAACCTTATCGTATTTAAGCAAGGTAACGTGGACTTTAACAAAATAGAATTCGAGTACCCCACCAGACCGGACATAAAAGTCCTTAAAGGCCTCTTCTTGTCCATCGAAGAGGGAAAGACGGTGGCTCTGGTGGGACCCAGCGGTTGCGGTAAATCCACCATCATCCAGCTATTGGAGAGGTTCTACGATCCCAACAGCGGCGCCGTGATCGCAGATGGCACGGATCTAAAGAACATCTCCATGGCCAACCTGAGATCCCAGCTGGGTATCGTGTCGCAGGAGCCGAACCTGTTCAACAAAACCATATCGGACAATATCGCGTACGGCGATAACTCCAGGGAAGTGCCCATGCAAGAAGTCATGGAAGCTGCCAAAAACGCCAACATTCACAAGTTCATCACTGAGTTGCCTTCGGTAAGAAAATACAAAATCAAGTGTGATCTTAAGACCAAACTATTTGTTCACAGGGTTACGCGACAATGTTGGGCGAGAAAGGTACCCAACTGTCCGGCGGTCAAAAACAAAGGATCGCGATCGCGAGAGCCTTAGTGAGGAACCCAAAAATACTGTTACTAGACGAAGCAACCAGCGCCCTGGATTCTGAGAGCGAAAAAGTGGTCCAAGAAGCCCTCGACAAAGCCAAGCAAGGCAGGACATGCATAACAATAGCGCATCGTTTGACAACGATCCAAGACGCTGACGTTATCTGCGTAATCAACGAAGGCCTGGTGGAAGAGATGGGAACACACGAGGAATTGCTAAACAAAAAGGGAATGTACCACAGGTTGCACATGTTAAGCAAAGCGTCCAAATAATTTTTTAGTGTTGTTGATAATTACGTAGTTGTATTATTTATTTTTTACTGTTGCTTATTAATTAAATTATTTTTAACATTGAGTTTTCCTTACCACTCACTTTTTACATTTTAATGAACTTAAAATGTTGAAGGGTAAGCTAAAATCCCAGCAAACACAACCGTAAAGATTCCCTTTATAAACGGGCCTTTGATAAACTAAACGCTAACTTTAATGGAACTGTACATTATGTATAACAAACTATTAAAACTATAGGAATTACACTGGGCATCATTTTTTAAATATGGCGTTAACCAAAGGATAATTAATATTCATGTATACATACAGAAAACATTTGGCACTTCAATAGTTTTTTAGTGTCATTAACTTGATACTGAAAATTTCTTTTATGGTAAAATATACAAATATTAGCCTGAAAAGGGCCATATCACGACAGCCTTTTATCAAAATTAATATTTTTATTAAAACATTCCTGTAAAGGCCCAGTACAAGGAAAGCTAAAAATGCCATTATAATGGCATACTATAGTAAGCCATGAAACTATGTAATGGCCATTAGGTACATAATTAGATTTTTTTTTACTCAATGAATTCAGGTGTCCGTAATATCACAACTCTAATAGATGGTTAGAACACTTTTATTAATAATACACTTACACTATGGTAACTCATTTTTGCTTAATCTAAATATCATCAATCAAAAATTAACAGGGATGTTAATAAGCTACATGGCGATAGCTTGTCTTTCTTGTACCCAATCTGCAATAGCACTAGCTGTATCGCGATGTCCTATAATATTAATATAAAAATTTAAAAGTGCCCAGAATATACCCAGTCAGCATCCAATTCAGAAAGATTTCAGTATGAAGTCTTTTAAACAACTTCGTGTAGAAGTTCTAACATGACGTCTTAAACAGCTCCTTTTTATGAGCTCAGAATTCTGAGCTGTTAATGAACTCATAAATAAGAAGTCAATTGCGTACAAATGAAGATCATTTCTTGCCCTCCTTTTGAACAATTTATTTTGAGCTTACAGAGTATTCTTTTTTCTAACTTCCAATTGAAATCATACTATTAACTCTTTTAGAAGTCAACATGGAGACGTCACATTTATGACATTTTAATGCGATTACTTTCTTCTCACCGCTGTAACTGCTTGTGTTTGATATAAGAAGCGGCGAAGTAGAATTTAGAGCGTGCTCCATACCAAACGGTCTTGGACCTAGGTAAACGGCTACCCGATACTGACGAGCTCCAAAAGAGCAAAACAGGCCGTCTATCGGTGCCGGTGAAGAGCACGCTTGAATTTAAACAAAAGTGAGACGAAGTAATCGCAATTCCTAAAATAAGCGAATACGAGCAAATTATTAAAATGATTTTAATAAAATCAATTTAACAAATTAATAAAATAAACTTGACATGTCAAAATAAGCAAAGATCCAGTAAGCAATTTCTTCATCAGTACCCTAGTAGTACTTCTATATCCAAAACGGAAAATTCTAAAGAAGTCTTTTTATAAGTTTATACAGTAGGACTCTTTAAAATGCTTAATTGCGAAGTCAAAGAAAAGGGTTCCTCAAGAGTTCTTTTTTGAGAAGTCTTGATTAGTTCAATAGGTGGCGCATTCGAAGTCTTAAGAACTTCTTAAAAACTTCTTTCTGATGTTGTATTTGACGTCCAAATCATAAAATAGAGCTTATGCAGACTTAATTAAGACGTCATAACGCTGTCTGGGTAACGTTTAACAGTAAAAAAAAATCTACTTCATTATAACAATTATTACATTTTAGTACTTACATACCTTGACTGTCGGCGATGGCATAGGGATGGGGAGTACCTGTCAGGTTGGCGTTTTTATTCAACAACCACTTCACCAGAGGGGTGTGTCCGAACATGGCTGCCAACTGCAACGGGGTGTAACCATTGCAATTCGGCGCGTTTATGTCTGCGCCTGCGTAGTATAATTCCCGAATGCATGGGCAATCCACCTCCGATCGGTTATCGATAAAGTAGAACACTGCCAGGTAAAATACCGAATCGTTGTTCGGGGTTTTCTTATGCACATCGGCGCCTTAAATTACATACTTTGGTAGAGTTTTTAGAATTAGAGAATTTGGGTCGAAAGTACCTTTGGAAAGCATCCATTTAACCAGCTGGGCCCGGTTTCTTGCGCAGGCCAGCTAAAATTAAAAATTTCGTTCAAAATTATTTTTTTACAATAATAAAGATTTTTATCAACTTATTTTCTTTCATTCATTCAATTAACAATTACAATGTTGTCAGATTTAAAATTATACCATTAGTATAAATTATAGACTATAAAAATTTGATTTAAAAATATATGTTTATAAACTATAATTTTAATGACAATTTGTAATTTTATGGTTTATATATACTATGATAGTACTTAAATAAATAACTATAAAATTACAAAATATCGTTAAAACTAAACATATATTTTTAAGCATTAAATTGAACAAAAGCGTAAAAAAAATCTGAAAGTAAATTCAATATATTGAAAAAAATCCAATCCAAAGTATGCAAAGTGTCGCAGAAAGCGCCCTCTACAACCTACATTAATTTTTTCAAGAAATTTAATTTACCCAGCCTGAAAACCCCCCAAAAATCAAATTTTAAGCAAAAACGTTTGTTTTTTCCAAAGTTTTTTAATAAAATCGAAAACGAACTTTAAACTTTCAAACCCTGCATCTTGGTTATAACAACTTTCATATAGAAGTAGATGTAGATGTAGCTACATATATCTCATTATTTCGGTCTCAGAAATATGTGGTATATACCATATATATATATATATAGGTATATACCATATATATATATATATATATATAAATTATATAATTTTGTACAGGCATTTTAGGAACACCTTGTATATTACATCTGGTAACATTGCTCTAAATCTGAAAACATACTGGTTGATTTTTAAATTTCAAATCATTATTTGAAAATATTAATTATTATTATTATTGATATACTGTAATTGAAATTGTGTTATTTTTAAATTAAAGTTTGTTTACAATTGTACAGAAAGTTGTGCCTAAAATTGACTTACCATAAATGGGGTATATCCTTTACAATCTATGGGTTCATTTATGAGCTCTGGGCGGGAATTTAACACCCAACACACTTCTGTCACCCTATTTTTCTATAACATAAACAGTTTTATACATAACTTTGGCTGAAAATTCTATAGGTATTTGTACCTCTATGGCTTCTGCAAGTCTATGATTAAATTCATTATTTTCATGAACATCAATTACTTGTGTTTCACATCTTTTCTTAATGAAACTGTTAATTACATATAAAATTAGATGCAAAAAGAATAAAAAGCAACAAACAATCCATGTAATGTGCATTATATTATTTTTAAAATCCATCCATTCCAATAATTTACCCTAGAATAAGAAATAATAAATGTTATAACTTATAATCACTCTAATATATGGCACTTACAAAAAAATTTCTTTCCATTTATAACTTTTTTAGTGTTTTACACTTTAATAACAATAGCGAATTTTTACATTTTCAAATTTGACATTTGTCAACCCCGTCGGTAATGCAGCTTTTTTTATTCGGAATTTAACAGATTTTGTTATGTTGGTATTGTATGTTAATATATTTGGTACTCCTGTTTTAGCCCTTAATTTTAAATACTTTGACATTTGTCATCTAAGGTAAAGTTATTGCATTTTTTAACAACTTATTTGACATTTTAAAATTTATAAACATTCTTATAATTATAACATAACCACAATAATATCCTCCACTAAACTTGTTTGTTTTACTTTTTGTAGGCAATTATAAATCTAGGGTCCCTAGAATTTGCCAAAGAAACCCCCAAATTTTTTACGTCAATTTCCAAATAAAAAAACCATGGCAAGTAGGTATGAATTAAAATTTAATTATTAAATACCATAATGTGGAAGTATTTGAAGTATTTGAATTAAATAAAAAATGTACAGAAAATTGTTTATAATTTAATAAAATTATATTATTACACAACAATTAAGCTTAAATTAAATTTTAGATCCTAATATTACTTAAATATGAGATTGTAATGTTATTCTTGCATCATATCAATGCTTAATTCTTCCCCCATATTACTAGGGGATGTTTCTAGTTCACATAAGTCATTTGACTCGCTAAAAAATATTTTTATTATTGTTTTCTTGTATGTAGAGTTTAAAAAAATTACCTGTCCAGTGATGGTTCGTTACTAAACATTTCCGTTGGTACAGTAGGTGGGGCCCTCTCGGGGAGTAATTCCATAAAACTTTGAGCTTGCAAATGCCTTTCTACCTCTTCAGGGGTCATGTGACCATCAGAGAGAATATTATTGCTACTTGTGGCAGGAATCTACAAAAAATTATTTATAAATCAAAAACTTCATTTTTTTTTACTTACAACTGAATGCTGTATACTTTTAGGTTGTCTGGAGGGTGGGGGACGTTTTTTCTTCGCTGCAGGTATAAATTTACCCCCACTTGAATGTTGGACATGATTATGTGAGCCACTATCAAGTTTCCGTCTACAATTGATAAAATGCTTTAAAATATTCATATGGTTATGTGTAGAAATACCTTTTGGGTATATCAACCCTTATTTGTTCACCATCATCCGAAGAATCAGTTTCTTCCGACTCCGAAGTACTATTTTCCACTTTTTCATGCATCAACAACCTATCCAGCAAAAAAGTTCGATCCCTTGTTACTGAGAGCAACCTTTTTTGTGCTGCCCTTAGGGCTTGTTGAAACGCTTCGTTTTCCTACAAAAAAACTCGTAAAACACACCCAAAACACCCCAACTCACTTACATAAACTAAATTCTGAAACTTTCTTTTCAAAAACTTGTACTCTTTTTTAAATTTGGACTCTTCTTGAGCCCTTTCTTCTTCCTCAGCGGCCGCTGCTTCGTTCGCTAGAGATCTGCAGTACCACCCGTCGAGCATTTCGTTTATTATTACTATTGTTATTGAAATTCAACACAAACTTTACGATTAATGTTTGAGGTTATGTTTGTTTGACAGCCAGGTAAATACGAACAGGGGCGGAGTCAGCGTCACTACAGTGCACAGGGCAGGCTCGAGGATATTTTTTAACGTCAATTTTGAGTTTTGATTTATTTTTATGTTGGGTTGTTTTTGTGATTTTTTTAAATGAAGAAATGCAATAAGAGCCTGCTAAATGTTTGTTTACTGGGACTTTCGTTTTTCCTGACTAATGCGGGGTTTAAACCAATGAACAATATTTTGGTATGGGCATTTTTTTAATTTTAAAATAGCTTTCCCACTGAACTTATCACTATTTTAGCAAATCCTGATACACACCATTCATGAAGAAGATGAATATTTTGTTGTAGATGGTTTTCAATTTTTAGCCATTGTTTATATATTTGCCGCCATCTACACATGGGTGGCGCCACCTGCAATAAGGGTATTTGGTACAAGAAAATTGATTTCCCTTGGATCGATATTAATGGTGTAAGAATTAAATTAGGGAATAAACTGCGAAACGTAAAATTTAGTTTTTATATTCTAGCTTATCTTTGGCCTAAAAATTGGTTGATATACCTTATTGCATGCGTTTTAGGCAGTGCTAGAGGATTTTATAAGGTGGCGGTGATGACTTATCTTATAGCAAATTCCAATAAAAACACCATAGCCAGAAATGCGGGAATTTATTGGACTTTTTATCAACTTAGGTATTTCGTCAAAAACTAGCTTTTTTCCCTAAATAGGTACATCATATAAATTTATAGTGTTTTAATTGGAAATTCGGTGGTCTACCTGGTATTTAAAGGCTACAGTATCATAACATTCAAAGAAAGAGTAAAGGTGCTTTGTTTTTTGGCTGGAATAAGCGCTACAGGTGTTTGTTCAACTTTCATACTGAAAAAATCTGTCAAACCGCCATTGGAAAAGGACGAGGAAAATGATGAAGCCCCTGTTGAACCGGATGTTGGTCCTATGGAGGAGTTTTTACAAACTTTGAAGCTAATTTTTACCAGGAATATGCTGCTGCTAAGTGCTCTTTTCTTTTATACAGGTTTTGAGATGAGATTTTGGGGTGGGGTGTTGGGTCCAACCTTGGGATTTGCGAAGCTATTCAAAAATCGTAAAGAACTCGTAGGGCTAACTGGAATCGCAGTTGGGACTGGAAATTGTTTTGGTTAGTACTTATTTCATTTCTCAACCTTAATTCCATCAAAGGAGTTAAGAGGTTTAAGGGGAGTTTATACTTAATGCATAAATAGCATGATACTACATACTACATACTTATGTAGTATCATGATAAATAGCGATAGATACCAACATTTCCTTTGTCATTTTATTATAAAAAGCAGACAATTTTCTCACTGCTTTTATAATTATTTTTTATTTTAATACAAAAGGCACTATATGTTCACAGATAGAAAGTGAGACGAAGTAATCGCAATTCCTACAAGCAAATTATTAAAATGATTTTAATAAAATCAATTTAACAAATTAATAAAATAAACTTGACATGTCAAAATAAGCAACGATCCAGTATCCAATTTCTTCATCAGTACCCTAGTAGTACTTCTATATCCAAAACGGAAAATTCTAAAGAAGTCTTTTTATAAGTTTATACAGTAGGACTCTTTAAAATGCTTAATTGCGAAGTCAAAGAAAAGGGTTCCTCAAGAGTTCTTTTTTGAGAAGTCTTGATTAATTCAATAGGTGGCGCATTCGTCTTAAGTCTTAAGAACTTTTTAAAAACTTCTTTCTGATGTTGTATTTGACGTCCAAATCATAAAATAGAGATTATGCAGACTTCATTAAGACGTCATATTGCTGTCTGGGTTTATTTTTCGTTTTGAAGCAGAGTGACAAATAAAAAAAAGATTTTAATTCCTATCCAAAGAATAATTGTAAAATTTCAACTCAGTATTGCCTCCTTAATGCAGTTTAACACCATCTACATTTTTTGTTCAAGGAGTAGCAATTTTTATATTGGTGATGTTACCCCGACTGAGATACGGCCGAAACTCCATAGTGGTGCTGGGTTTTTTGCTGCACGTGTTCGCTTTGACAGTTTTGGTTCTCACAGTTCCCAACGCGGCGCCACTGGGCGAGACCGAAGAAGAGCCGATATGGCTTACGGAGTACAACTCGTATTTCGCGCTAGTTAGCGCGTTTACCATAGGGATGGGCGACGCATGTTTTAACACGCAGATTATTTCTTTGATCGGCATGTTTTACGATGACAAGAGCGCATCGGCTCTTTGCATTTATCAATTTTTTCAGGTATAATATGGTAGAAAATATATGTTTAGTAGTCACTTACTTAGAGAACTTTTGTAGCTATGTATGTAAAAAAAAATCAGTGGCGGCTCGTCCCTCACCCTCAAAATGAAAACAATAAAAAGTAAAAAATCAATCAATCATACTAAGCATAAATGGTAAATTAAAATCCACGCTCAAGAATTCTTTGGTGGTTTTATATCATTGGTGGTTTTATATCACATGACTGAAGATGTGGTGGGTGGCAGTTTATGTTGCAGTGTGTGTTGAGCGGGTACTTTTGTTTTAATGCAGATTAAATTATTTAAAACTGTTGTCTGATCTTTTATAGTTTTTGTTTCGATTAGTAAAATTTATTATTTTATTTTAAAAAACGAATTTATGTTTAATAATAATAATAATAGTTTATTAGCATCATACATATAAATACATGTTTAGGCAGTCATAAAAAGGTACAAGTATTTAAGAAATAAAAGTTAAACAAAGTACAAACAAAATTATATACAAGTTTTAACATATTTTAAAAAGCAGTGAATAAAATACAAATAAAACATTTGGTCCAATGTTTTTTAATAAACTTCCACAGTCCGTAAGAGATTTAAGTTTTAAACAATTTAAAGTGGTATTAATCGCAATTTGGCTTAAGATTGCTTTGATATTTTTTTTGTTTTGTTTTTTTTAGTTTATTTTTTTATTATAATGGTTTAGTAAGGCTATCCGGCATTTTAAAAAAGGTCAATATATTTTAAAGTTTTAAAAAACGAATTTATGTTTCGCAATTTGGGTTAAGATTGCTTTGATATTTTTTCTGTTTTGTTTTTTTTAGTTTATTTTTTTATTATAATGGTTTAGTAGGGCTATCCGGCATTTTAAAAAAGGTCAATATATTTTAAAGTTTTAAAAAACGAATTTATGTTTCGCAATTTGGGTTAAGATTGCTTTGATATTTTTTCTGTTTTGTTTTTTTTAGTTTATTTTTTTATTATAATGGTTTAGTAGGGCTATCCGGCATTTTAAAAAAGGTCAATATATTTTAAAGTTTTAAAAAACGAATTTATGTTTCGCAATTTGGGTTAAGATTGCTTTGATATTTTTTTGTTTTGTTTTTTTTAGTTTATTTTTTTATTATAATGGTTTAGTAAGGCTATCCGGCATTTTAAAAAAGGTCAACGCGTCGAAGAATAATACCTCCCGGGTGACGTCATGATGTGCAAATTTATTCGTATTTAGACGACCCACGAGCCGCCACTGAAAAAATTGTCAATTTTGTAATTTATTTACAAAATCTTGATGTTGTGGTTTTTACATCCAGTATACTTTTAATTTCTAACTATTTTTTAGTTTCTTGGAAATGGCATTGGATACACTATCATTTTTAAATTGTACTACAGCATCGGCATACTTCTTCTATTTCTTACTGTGGGCACGATATCAATTTTGTATGTAGATTTGAAAGAACAAAAAGAATAACAAACAAATTTTTATTTATTTTATATTTTCTATACAATAAAATTAAACAAATATATAGAATTTACAAGTGTCGAGTCTTATTGATAAATAAAATAAATGGAAAACTTCCAAAAAGAAATTAATTTGTACGACCCAAATTAGGTAATAAAACATACATTTTAAACACTACTATACAATAATTAAAAAATGTGTCAACAAATCTCACCTCCAAATTTTTGTCAAGACCATAACAGTGTTTATTTTTTGTAAAAACTGTAATATTAAAGCGTACTGTTGCAATTTTTATAGATTGATTTAATTTATATTATAATCAAAAGAAGGTTTTGTCTTCTGTAAGTTACAAGTACTTGCTTCGTTGCGCGAAGCATAGATGGCGCCACTTGTAATCGGCGTATAAAACATATGATCACAACATAAACACGAGCAGTCAACAAACGTGAATTGTTTTGGTTTGTTCTTGATTTTTCTTTCGAAATTGCGCGTACTATGGCGGTCGACAAAAGTTTTCGAAATGTCGTACACTTGGGGTTCGCGTTCATGCTCATTTTCACCGCTTTTCAGACCATGGGTAACATACAGGTAAGCAGGAAAAAAGGTGGGCGCGAAAATTCGGTTTGGTGATAAGCCGGCAAAATTTAATCACGATTTCTTTAATTTAATTCAGCGTTTATCTTAAATTGTTTATGATTGGGACAATAATAGATTGAAAGCGCGCTAAGTAAATATTTCTCTATGGCAAATTTTTGCTCGATAAAAATTAGGAATGTAAAATAAAGATTGCAAACATGTTTAAAAATGTAAATGCTGAATATTTTAAACCAGTGAATAATAAAATTAAATAGTGTTTTATTATTTTAAATTGTGTATTATAAAGAATAAAACATTTTGTACTTCATCAATAAGCATCCACTTATCTAAGTAGGTTGATGATCCTAGAAATAAATACTTTTATTTGATATCAAACGTGTTTATTAAAAATTTTTTTTTTATTATTATTTACATTGAAATAATTGGGGGCTTTAAAATAAAAGGGGTATAAGTGCAGCTGCCATGTTAAGCAATATTACACTAAGAAAAAAGTTTATGGTTCCCAAATACCTAAAAAGAATTAAATATGGGACAGAAGCATTGTTTATTTATCCTAAATATATTTTTATTCCTGACACGTCAAGTTTTACTAAAGTAAATTTATCGTTATTATTTCGACTATTTAGAGGTAATAAACAATATATTCACTATTAATAAAAAGTATTAGCTACACAGTTTATTTGTCCCATTTTTTCTTAGTGTAGTAATAAAACACAAAAGATAATTTTATTGTTAACAAAATAATAATAATTTATAATTTTTCTAATGGAGGCTTTTTTATGATTCGACAGTTGTTTTTGTTGGGCCACCCGGTATATTTTATAATAAATACAATAAATTGCAAAATCTCAAAATAACTACCATACAATAAACTATAATTAAATAGGTAAATAATTATGTAATTTATATACCTAATCCAAACAATTTAAGAAAATTACTTGCCCATTTAAAACACGTTATAAATTATTAAATTATTATTATACATTGGATTTGAATGTAGGTATTCAAAAGTAAAAGTAGGTAATGGTTAAGAGATCTTTTACTTGTAATTTGGTAATTTCAATATGTTATTTAATAATTTACAGCTTTATTAAATACCTATATTAGTTTTTGTGTACTTTGCTTAATTTGAATTCTATTAATATCTATAGATATAGGTATCCAATTTGTCAAAAATCAATATCTTGTGATAGCGGAAGCTTAAAAACCTATTAAATTTATTTTTAATTCAAAGATTCCACATATCTAATTTAATTATCATTTTAATTAATGCGATAAGAAATACTCTACCTTTATTTTATAAGTGTCAATATTTTTGAATCAATACTGTTTATGGTTATTTATTTATCAATAATTATAACTTTATTCATTATAAACGTGAAATAAAATGAACAATAAAAGGTCAGAACAACATTCCTCAAAAATAAAGTATCTACAATTTTTTTTTGGCTGAAACCTGATTTCACAAAACAATAAACTACACTGCACGGCAAATAACTATACAGGGTGTTCAAAGTTGTCACCATTGCTACCATTCTAATTCCGTTATTATTGGAGCTACAAAGTCGGTTAAATTAGCAAATTGGTGGCATTTTTTCTTCTGATTAAATTGGCTAAAACGGAAAAACAATTGAACGTCGGGTTTCCGAAATATTCACAAAAATATTTTGAAAGACAATTTAGTTTGGAACAAAAAAATATTATTGCATTGTTATTGTTAAAATTATGTTTTCCTACTACCTAGATCAAACACATGTTTGATGATTTTTTTACACGCGTAATGGAAGGTGCATATTTAATTTAAAATGCCCAAAAATCGACGACAACTTTTTACCACTGAAGGCAAACAGTTCAATAAACCTACTTTAATGTTTTGTGCATCTGCACAACTTTCATTTTATTTCAAGTGAAAAATGTCTTCATTAATAAATTTACTGTGGGCAGATAAAAAATTAAAATTCTTTAAAAATTCAAAGCTCCAATTAATGATAATAGTAAAACTTGACATTGACAGAGGCTCGGGCATTTCCTCTTGCCCGAGGAATGCACAGAACTTGAGTGGCATGACCTAGAGTTTACATTTGTATGCATTGCGCATCACTATAAAAACACTAGTCAACAAAATGAATTTTTTTTTGCCACAGGGCACAGTGTACTAGAATCGCCCGAGAAGGACCAAAAACACAATTTAGGTGTTTTTACAATTGAGAAAATCTAATTTGATTCCTTTATAGAAAAAAAAACATTAAAGTTTCATTTATAAAATTAATTTTTTTTACCAATAATAGTATATTAAAGAACTAATGTCATAAGACTTCATTTTGTCGCACGCCGACAAAAGGTCTTATGACATGAGTTCTTTATGCTATTTTATCTATTTTGCAAAAATTCTATAAAAAAAATAATTTTATCCCTTAAATTTAATTTGGTCGAATTTTACTTTAGATAGTTAATGTCAAAATCGATTCGTCATGCCGTCCTTAATTTACTTATTTACAATAAGCGGCTGTTAATGTTAAAGAAGAAAAAAAGGATTTTCTTTGGGGTTAAGTCTCTTAAGTACTAGAAAAATCATAAAAATATTATAACCAATATGCAAAATATTATGCTGTTTAAAGTATAGCCAACCTATAAAATCAAAATTTTGGGTGGGATAAAGTATCTCATTACAGCACCAAATGCGGTGTTATAATGAAGTCATTAACGCAAAATAAATAAAAAGTTTTAGAACATTGAAGTGAACCAAGTTTACAATTAAGCAAAATGGAAATTTTTTCTTAAACATTATTTAAGTTTAAATCGATGTAATTTTAAAACTAATAGATTTTTTAGTATATTTTTTTTAAATTAAGGCTATGACGTTTACAAACGTCTATTTAAAATTTTATAATTAAAAAAGCAATATAAAAAAACAAATTATTATTATTTAATAATACCTTCTATCAATAATTTAAATTATTTAAATCCATTTAGCAAAAATGTTGGTTTTAATTTTTTCATTGACATTGATGTCAATATAAATTTTACTGCAGACAAAATACTTCTTAAGTAAATTTTATAAGCATTATTTGTATTTAAATTTATTGAAATAAATGTGTAATATTTATATTTTTTTGTGATACGCCACTGGTTACACACTTGGTTTATATCTGCACACTTGTGTTCTGTGAGTTCATAGATACCAACCAACAAAGTACCTGCGCGTTGCCAGTTGTAAAAAATTGTTACTAAAAATTTTTCTTGCAAAAAATAAATAAAAACGCAATAAATACAAAAGTTTAATACCTACCCTTCTGTATTTATTTACTTATCCAGCTATTAGCTAAAACAATGATTAGAAAATTTAGTACCTATTTTAAAAACTCCATAACCACAAAATTAATTTTGCATCGATTTTTTCTTTATGTTTACTCAGATGAAATTAGGACAAGTTCACAGGTTAAACTTCAATTTGTGTAAATAAATCCAAAGGCACTTAGTTAAGATATTTACAATTTGAGTAAATAACCTAAAATGCACTATATTCTGTCATAAAATTACAAAAATGACATAATCAACAATTAATAAAAACGCCAAATTAACCATTTGCATTGTTGATTTTGTCATTTTTGTAATTAAGCTAAATTTAAACAAAATCTGGCAACTTTTTTTGACAGAATTTGGAAAAGCTTGTTGTTACCAACCATAACGTAATAAATTAAATTGGGCAACCGGATTAGCCTAAAGTTCCTGGTCGATCAGTGGCGTACTTTTTGGTGGGATAAAGGTTATTATAAATTATTTTTAGTCTTTATAATTTAGAAAAAAAAGTTTCAGGTGCTTCTTTATGGAAGCTACGGAACTACCCATTTTAATATATTACATTAATTACACCCTGTATATGGTGTTAAAATTCCATAATGATATTTTTATTAGTTTTTTTTTAATGAATTTTGGCCACTTTTTGCCATTCTAGTCCACTGTGCAGGGTGGCCCTGGCTCTTGTACGACTTTGAAAAAAAATTCTTCGAATAACATTAGTTGATAAAAGCTTAGTAATGTCATATTTCTTCGAAAAAAATCATGCTTGCTACAATTTTATTAAAATGTGACAAAAAGTGTTCATGTTTCAGCACTTTGAATATTGTCCAATATTAGCTAAAAAACGAGTTTATTTCATTAGCAGCATGATTTTTAAAGAGAAAAAATTTATAATATACATTTTATTTTTTTACTTTTTATATTTACATATACCACAAAATCTAATGCATTTACTTTCGATTATCAATTTCATTTTGCTTTCTAGAAAATATTAGATTACAATTTTGATTTTATTAATTATTAACATAATGACCATGCAGTTTAAGTAAATAAAAACGAAACATGATAAACTTGAAAAGTCCATTCCTAGACTATGCTCCACTTATTAGAATTATGTTCTAATAACCTCAAATTGTAATCTTAAATTTTCATTTTCATGGTCAAACGTCATATTAATAAATTTCATCGATTAGGCCTTTTATGGTTTGGTTGCAATGGTCAGTGCTTCGTAATTTTTAGGGACAACGCAGACAATTATTTCTTATGATACAATTTTGTAAATAATCAGTAAAAAAGAATAATTATACATTTTATGTGACATTAAAGTAATAAATATTCCTTAATATTTAAAATGCTTTTTAAGAGTCAGTCAAATTAAGGTTATATTACAAAACAAAAAACAAACAAAATTACGATTTTTATGTATTTAAAACAATTAGAATGATTTTTATGACAAATTATGAAACCTATTTATTAAAAACGTACGCAGAATAAAAAGAATGTTGTTAAATCACTTGTTAATTATTTTAATGTGTTATAATTAACCTAAAACCCTCAAATACATTTGATATACAATTAAAAAATCTAAAATTGCTTCATTGAATATTTAACATTAGGGAAAAACTTAAACAAATTATTTTGGTAATGGCAATAAAATTTGGCTTTGCAAGCCTAAAAATATATTTTGTAAATTGGAACAATTGCCCAATATTTTTATGCTTACCTTTTAAATTATTAAACATCATGTAATAACAAATAAAATTTAAGATAAAACCGATATAGGTCAAAAGTAACAACAATTCTGTCAATAATTTTATTTACTTTTTTACATTTCGTTTTATTGTACTTAAATTTTTTTATGTGCCTACATGTAGGCGCAGTGCATATTTATTAAGCACTAAATAATATTCCTTAATGATTTTTGCGCCACTTAAAAGTGTGTCAAAGTCATATTTGTGGAAATACAGAGCAAGATTTGCAAAAATTTTGCATCAATAATCTTGCGTGGGATAAATTCGATGAATAAAAAAGTTGTATAAAACTTGAGTCGGTTTCATATACTCTCTAAAAGTGAAACAGTGAAATTTTTACTATTCCCGTCAGTGAGTTATTATTCACTGTAAAATTAGTGTTTTTCAATATAAATTAGTGAAATTTTAACTTCTCCAAATTAGTGTTTTTTATTATCACTACTTTTCCGGAACTCTCGACATAAAATAGTGAAATTTTAACTTTTTTGAACTAAACCTATTTCACTAATTTGTACAGTGTAATTTCCACTAAATAAATTAGTGCAAAGAAATCGCTACATGAAAAAGTGAGTATTCACTAATTGCTAGTGGTATACTTATCACTGCGGCAAATAGTTAATATGCACTGTCAATCAGTGAAAATCCACTGTTTCATTTTTAGAGAGTAGATGCAAAATGCGAATTGCGAAATACGAATATTCCCATTTCGCAACTTATACAGCTCATTTTTTTTTTATCTGGACTCGTGTTTTTTTGTTAGGTTGGTGGCTTATGCCAGTTTGACTTAATATTTTTAGTATTTAAAAATGGTACTTCTGCTAAAGAATTTAATTAAATACTTTGACACTGTCAAATTGACAATAATATATATTATTGATAATTTACTTGCAAATTATAAATACAAAGATAATTATGCCAAAAATAATAGCAACGAATTCGAATGTAAAAGCCCTTTTGAGGGCAAAACTTCATTTTGATGAAATTATGCCAAATGTCACAATGGAAGAAAAAGTTTATCGCCTTATGGACATTTTTGGAGTAAATAAGTATCGAATTTGGTTTTATAAATATTACATCACACATTATTTTCACATTATTCACCATTGGACATCAGTTACGTTCACAAAAAATTTTAATTTCTTTTATATAAATTCTTTTCACAGCGAAGATTATTATCCACTAGGAATACTTTCTCTTCTGGGCCGTAAAGCAACCTATATTTAACTACTTTTTTATATGATTTTACTCATCCAAGCACCACCAAAGCCAAATTAATTGCATTTTGTAACCTACAATAATTTATACATAACCACAATTAGATTTATAACTAGCTTAGTTTGTTTTAATCAATGCGACCAACTTGACAACTGTATTTACCAACCAAAACCCTAAATTTGCAACGTTGCCGCAGTCCAGATAAAAAAAAGAACTTTTAGATGCGAACTATTTTAGGGATATTGTTTTCTCAATAGGCGATATTTTCCATGCTATTTTAGGTACTAAAATAGAAAAGTTACTTAAAGTGACTATAAAGGTAAAACAAGAACCATTAATGTACCTCAAAAAACTCTTTGTCCATTATAAAAAACAAAACAAAAACTTCAAACACTTCGAATAAAACAACAAAACAAACACTACGATACAAACGAAATAAACATAATATTTTGCGATTTTCGCAAAATATTGGATCATTCCCGCCACCATAAAAAAAATGGATTTTAAGATTCACTATTATTATATAGAGATGTAGTCAAGTCTTTCTTCTAATCTGATCTAAAATGATTTTTTAGAAAACAATCTTGGACAGCGTTCACCAAGAAGACAACAGTTTCAATGGAGATGGTTACGTGAGTTTGGCCATAATTTACGCAGTCATGTCGATTTGCAACTGGCTTGCGCCGTCTGCAATAAACATGACCGGCCCCAGATTCGCAATGTTCTATGGCGGACTTACATATTTGTAAGAACAACATTTTAATAATCTCACCTTTTTTATTAATATTTTTTTCTTAGGTTTTTCATAATGACCTTTTTGATACCGAAAGAATGGCTGCTGTATTTTGCCAGCTCGGTCATCGGTACAGGGGCGGCTCTAATATGGACCGGACAGGGGAATTATTTGACCTTGAACTCCTCGAAGGCTACTATGTCGAGAAACTCCGGGGTTTTTTGGGCCATGCTGCAATTTAGGTATTTTATCATTTAAACTATTTTGATCAATTTCTAGCTGAAACTTGTACATCCGCATCATCATAGGTAACATCTGCATCAGCAACATTTTAGTGCGGATTTATTTTTAATATATAATAAAGTTTTTGAATATATTAATTTAAAACAAAATTAAACCAAACTAAATAAAACCTATAATATAGATTATTTCACTCATTATAATATGAACCAATCAAAAGCCTTGAATTTTCGAATAAATTTCGTTTAAATAAGCGATTAAATCACTAGAACTATTTAACAGCGATTAAATTTTAGCCTCCATATTGGATTTTTGTTTACGATTTTATGGTGTTATTTACAAGTTTTAACAAACATTTTTTAAAAAACAATAAAAAATAAGTTATCTAGTTTACGAAATATCAATTATTACTTATTACATACCTTAAATTAATGGAATTTTCTTTAAAAAAATATTTATAAATTTTGACACATACGTCAGATTTTATGAATTGTCAAATAGTTTCCTTTAATTCGAGAAATAATCTAGACGTATATCACTCAACCTATAAATTTAATCTGTCAAACTATGCTCAGTAAGTTTTTTATTTGATTTTTTTTTTGGAAAATAGTTTCATGCAAAATAATTAAAAATAAAACCCCCCGACCGCTACGCGGTCTCGTGATTTTATTAAATTATTTTGCATTCAACATTTTCCAAGAAAAACCAAACAAAAAACTACTGAGCCTAGTTTAACCGATTAAATTCATAGTTCTCGTGATATAATATATGATAATATATATAAAACCTATAGGTTTTATTGAGTTTGATTTAATTTTGTTTTAAATTAATATATTCAAAAACGTTATTATCTATTAAAGATAAATCCGCACTACAATGTTGCTAATGCAGATGTTATGATGATGCGGATGTTCCGCAATTGCAGATGTTCCGCAAATGCGGATGTTCCGCAAATGCGGATGCAAACGTCTGTAACACCATAGTAAAAAAAAAATTTATTCTAGCATGTTTGTTGGCAATTTGTTCGTATTTATAAAATTCAAAGGCCAGGACAAGATCGACGAGGCCAGCAGGACTGTGGTGATATGGACGCTTTCAGGAATTTCGGTCGCAGGACTGGTAGTGGTGGCGCTGTTGCCACGTGCACCCAAAACCGACCAATCGGAGAACGATAACGAATTGCCGATGGAAGAGACCCATGATGGGCCCGTGCAAACTTTGAAGAAAGCAGTGAATCTTTTTTGCACGAAAAACATGCTTTTGTTGAGCGTTACTTTTTGTTATACTGGTATGTATATATTTCATAATTTATTACTAATATTTTCAATAAAATATGAAAAAATACATTTTTTAATTTAACCAAACAAATATTAGAAATATTCCCAACACAAAAACACCAAAACAAAACAGAAAGTGCTAAAAGTACTTTTGGCATTTTCAAAAGCAAAGTGTAACTAAATCTGAAGCGGTTACGCTCCACGGTTTAGTAAACTGTCTAAACTGAGTAAACGCCGTTGGGAAAAAGTACTTTAAGCACTTTGTGTTTTGTTTTGGTGCTGGGGAATATAACAAACCAACCACTAAACTTCAAACAAACATTTTTAGGTCTTTCGCTGGGTTTCTTCAGTGGCGTGTACGGGTCGTGTTTGGGCTTCACTAAAAGCTTCGCGGACCGCAAAGAACTGGTCGGACTTTCTGGGATCTTCATCGGGGTTGGCGAAGTGCTGGGCGGGGCTACGTTCGGTATCCTAGGCGCTAAAACCAACAAGTGGGGAAGAGATCCCATCGTCATAGGAGGATTTATTTTGCACACAGTCGCCTACTTCCTGATTTTCTTGAATCTTCCAAACAGTTCGCCTTTTGGCGATACCAACGAGAAGGCTTTTATTACGAGCATCAAGGCGGTAGCGCTGTTTTGTTCGTTTTTGCTGGGGCTTGGTGACGCGTGTTACAACACTCAAATATACTCAATTTTGGGTGGAGTTTACTCGAAAAATAGCGCGGCTGCTTTTGCTATATTCAAGTTTACACAAGTAAGTACCTAAAGCCACACAGAAAAAAATTTCTTGAATTTGGTTTCATATTTGTATGAATTTGTTCAACCAATTGGTGGAACAATTTGTGCAAAATTGTAGCAAATAATTGTAGTAAACTTATTATATTATTTATTTGACACGTATATTGTATATTTCTTTTTAGTCTGTTGCTGCAGCTATTTGCTTTGGTTACGCCTCAGCAGTGGCCCTCTATGGACAATTGGGGGTACTTCTGGTACTTGCAATTCTAGGTACAGTCAGTTTTGTAATGGTGGAATGGACAATTAAAAGGGAAGCCAGTAAAAGATCGTCCAATACGTCGATTAACAGCCAGGACAGTAGCAATAGTCAAAACGATTTGGAATCGTAAAAACATATTTTATCTATTTATTTATATACGAGGTGTGTTCAGAAAATATCGGGAATTTTCGTTTTTTAAAACAAATATTTATTTATTCGTCTACATTAATGTTGTAGCCTTCAAAATAGTCCCCATTGGATATTATGCACATGTGCCAGCCCTTCTTCCAAACTCTTTATTTTTGGGAATAGGAAAAAGTCAGACAGAGGCATGTCTGGCGTACATGGAGGCTGGGGCATCATTACAGTATTCTTTTTGGCCAAAAATGTTGTTCAAAATTTAAAAATTTTAGAACAAATTTTGCTGCCACGCTTTTCATACCCAAAACATTCGAAAAAATTTCATGGGATGAGTCAATCGATATACCAACATCATCAGCGACTTCTCTGATGATTTATAACCATTTATTCCACTTTTTCCATGTTTTTATTGGTTGTTAATGTGCTTGTGCGTTCGGGGCGTTCGACATCTTCAACGTCTTCACGGCCATCTTGGAAACTCTTATACCACTTGTAAACTCTTGTTTTACTTATAGAAGACTCACTATAGGCCTTTGTTAACATTTCACAGAATTTATTTCATTTTTTAAGCAAAATTGGATACAAATTCTTTGATCCATTTCTTTTAACGAACGAAAAATCGCCGAGCTCATAAAACACGCCTAACCTTAGCGGCTGCCACAGACAAAGTAAGCAACGAAAACAGCTGAAGTTTTTATCATACTTCGGGGGCGTGTATACCAACATAATAAAGAAAATTTTATGACAACCGGACCCTCCGAACCCGCGAAATTTAACAATTCCCGTTATTTTCTGAACACACCTCGTATAGTATATATAACATTCCGAGAAGTATATTTTAATTAAATTTTAGTCATTGTTACTTATAAGAATATTTGTAAAAACAAAAAAGAACTGCCGAAAAATGCAATATCATTAACTTTAATATTAGTTTATAAGTTCAACTTCGTTACAATTTTAAAATTTATATTGAATATGTTTATAAGAAAAGATCAATATCATTTTATTGTATATCAAATCCTTTTTGAGAATGACAAAGATAATTAGTTTAATAAAAAGTGTACCAAATAATAACATTTGTATTACAATAACTTAAATTACAAAAGTAAAATTGTATTCATAATAAGAATGTATCTGTGATACACAAACTTGGTTGTGGTGTATATTTTTAAGAAATAAATCGATTTTTAAGTACCCAGGTCTTTTACTTGTTAAAATTAAATTTGTACAGACGCTACTGACTTTAATTGACCACAGTCAAGGTCAGAATACTTGTTTAGTAAGTAACACATATCAATATCAATGCTAATATAAACAATACATTAAAACACTAAAATTATCGCTTTTTATCATATTATTGTTTGTTTATTCAGATCTGTATTAACAGACTCAGTAACTCAAGTGCTTTCACGATAAGAAGTCCACTAAAGTCGAGAAATCATGGAAAAAACCGGTAAGAAATACCAATTAAATAGTTTTAAATGCATATGAAGAAAAAAAATCCATGGTGGTATTTCATTTAAGGGCCTGGATACGCTACACCTTTGGATGCAATGAAAAATGGCCCCAAAGAAGAAATACTTTACGTTGTAGCGGTCCAACCTAATCAAGGTGAAGGAAAAACTGATTTATTGGCTACTGTAGATGTGGACCCAAAATCACCGACCTATTGCAAAGTAATGCAATAAAAAATTGTAACAATGGGGTAGTTAAATTTTTTCTGACCTATACTTTTTATGGTTTTATTCAAGGCGTTTTGTAATATTAAACATTTCTGTGAAATCAAAATTTCAATTGAGTTTACCGTTTTCGAGATATTTACAAAAAATATAAATTTTTATGACGTCACAAACCTCGCCATGTGACCAACATTCTAAGATTTCTATTGGTTGAAAATTACCCTGTTGTCAAGTTGTCTTGTTAATGATTACATTCGGTTATGTCAGAAAATACCCGAAGAGGTTATGTACAAATACTGTCACTGTCAGTTGAGTGAAAGATGGTCACCAAATTCATTAAGTACCTATCTTCCTTATTACGAGGTATCATATTACTGTTTGATATTTTAGTCCAAGATATATCTAAAAGAATATAAAGAACTAGGCATTATACTAATGAAATGCATTTACGACAAAATATGATTATAATTATAGGTACTTTATTTGTTTAAAAACTCCAATGTTCAATGTAACCAACCATTCCACAAGATTCCTCTGCTTTGGAGTCCGTTATTAATAAATCACTTATCTAATATCAATTACAAATAACAATACCAATAATCTAAATTTAAAAAAAACATAACCCGAAAAAAAGAAACGTCAAAAAATCAATTCTTCTTCTTCTTCTCGACTAAAATTATAGATCAAGTGGTTTTAAAACTAAAATATTATAACGTGGCGCCATCTATCGTAAGAATCCTAAACTAAACACACTGGCAACCATAGAAAAAGCTGGCAACGTTGTCAATGGCCTAGTGACGTAATTAGGAGATTTTTTTTTGTAAATATCTCGAAAACGGTAAACTCAATTGAAATTCCGATTTCACAGAAATGTTTAAAATTACAAAACGCCTTGAATAAAACCATAAAAAGTATAGGTCAGAAAAAATTTAACTACCCCATTTAGATCAAATTTTTATCAAAATATTTTTTTGCAAGATCATCCACAGACTAAGGACGGGTCGCCTAAACGATGAGCTTCACCACACGGGTTGGAACGTTTGCTCGAGTTGCCACGATTTTAAAGGGTGTTGTACAGCTCCGGTCAGAGATAAGCTGGTGATGCCCGCACTAGGTTCTAAAAGGGTGTACTTTGTGGATACCGGAAGTGATCCTAGGCAACCCACGATACACAAGGTATACAAGTTGTGGTTATCAGGTTTAGAGTTAAGTTTTAAAGTTTAAACCAGGTTTTAGAAGCAGAAGAGTTAGATAAAGTGGATTGTTCCACTCCTCATACTACGCATTGTTTGGCATCTGGGCAAATTATGATATCTGCTATGGGGGACAATAATGATGAAGGAAATTGCGAGTACGTTCTAATTGATGGAAAAACTTTGGAAGTAACAGGTGGGTTACCCAAAGTTTCCTCAATTTTTGTTTCTATTTTTTTCCCTTATTTTAAGGCACTTGGTGCAAAGGCAGAAAAGCCAAATTCAACTACGATTTCTGGTACCAACCGTACTTCGACATAATGGTGTCCTCCGAATGGGGGGCACCAAAGGTCTTCAAAACCGGCTTCCACCCCTCCCATGCCGATGATATAGAAGCCTACGGACGCAGCCTGAACTTCTTCTCTTGGAGCAAGAGGGAATTAATTCAAACTATAGATTTGGGCGATGAAGGCATTGCCCCTTTGGAGGTCAGGTTTTTGCATGACCCCAAGCAAAGTCAAGGGTTTGTCGGGTGTGCTGTCAACGCCAATGTTTTTAGGTAAAATAGTTTGTTTTATTTATAGTTCTTCCTATTGTAAGTGACCAATAGAATCCAATAAAAAATAAGTGGGTAATTGGTTTGAATTGGTTACAATGTGTTTTGGCTTTGGATTGGAAAATACCAATCCATGCCTATGCTTCTCTATTGGCTAAACCCAATAGAAATGCACATGGAATGAATTGGTAATTCATAGCGCCAAACCCATTCCAACCAATTAATATTTTTAAATTTGGATTAGAAAATACCTACCAGTTTATTTTCCATTCAAAAATAATTTTAGATCCCAGAAGGATAACCGGGTAAAAACCAGAATCCATTTTTCACAGAAGAGACAAAAAATTATTGTTACTGAATAATTTTATTTCTTTATTCTTTTTTTTGTGATATATGTATGTATTGATACATATAACTTACTATCACAAAAAAGTAATAAAAAATAAATAAAATTACTCGGTTATAATCATTTTTTTGTCTTTCTTGCAAAGGATGTTTGTAGGCATGGTCGAAGTCAATACTGTTTATGTCATTTTTTTTTTATTTTGTCCGCTGTGACATTCTTACGCCATCGTTCCTAAACCTTACACAAATAAACATATTTTTAAGATATAAGTACACTACTATCACTAGGCACTTAACACAGAAATCGACTAATAAAAAAAACCGCTAATAAATGGCGTCCAAAGACTTGTTTGTGTTGTTTTTTCTTTATGATGGCGTCTCAACCTCGTTGGTTTTGCGATATTTGTAATGTATTGGGAATAACCAATTAGAATATTGCCCAATTGAATTCAATTGGAAATTACCTATAGGTAGCTTTATCCAATCGAAACCGCTAAAAAACAGTAGAATCCTAATTGGATTGGGAATAACCAATTAGCGGATTCCTTTTTCGAATCTTACACTGGAAATGCCCAATTGAATTTAATTGGAAATTACCCATGGGTAGCTTTATCCAATCGAAACCAATAAAAACATTAGAATCCTAATTGGACTTTTCCATCATGGAAAATATCAGTAAAACCCAATTTCTGTTTTATATCGCGCCCAATTAAATCCAGACCCATTGATACCAACCAATTATTGTATTAATAATAATGTAATTAAGTATTATACTAATAATGTAATTAAGTATTATACTTCAATTGGTTTCTACAGGAATTAATCGGTCATTTACAACAGGGCTGTCTCTTAAGCGTTCTCCAAATATTTCGAAGTATTTATATAAGGGCCATTTAACGGAAACACAGAGAATACTGACAATAAAACTAGAACACAACAAGAAGTTTGCAATTTATTTAATGCAAAGTATCCACAATATTTAGAAGACTTGAATAATCAAATTGAAAGAAATGAAGAATGTCGCTTTATTAGAACGTTCTCGGAGAATTTTCAGACAGGCTAATTGGTTAATGTATCCATTAAAAGCATTTTCAAAATAATTTTCATAAAAATAAAAAATATTTTTTCGAAATAATTTTTTTTAAATCACGAATTTAATAATACCTACCCAAAACTATAGGTTATACAACTATGGTTATTTTAGGTTCTACTTAAAACCTGACGGTACCTGGGCAGCTGAAAATGTTATAAATATAAAACCCAAAAAAGTATCAGGTTGGGTTGATGATTACATTCAAGGAATGATTACGGATATTTTGTTATCATTGGATGATAAATATCTCTATCTATCCAATTGGCTACATGGAGATGTCAGACAGTATGATATTTCGGACCCTGCCAATCCCAAATTAACAGGTAAGCACTAACATTTACTTCATAAAACATAAACATTTATTTTCTTTGGTTTAGGTCAAGTATTTTTGGGAGGAATGATACTGAAAGACTCCAAAGTGGTTGTACTCGAAGACCACGAACTTTCCGAACAACCCGACCCTGTTTTCATCAAAGGCAAACGTTACTACGGGGCCCCGCAAATGTTGCAACTTTCCTTAGACGGAAAAAGACTATACGTCAGCACCAGTTTATTTTCCCCGTGGGACAAACAATTTTACCCCGAATTAGTTGAAAATGGCGGAAGCATAGTCAAAATGGACGTGGATACTGTTAATGGCGGAATCAAGTTGGATACAGATTTTCTTGTGGATTTTTCCGAAGGACCAGATGGACCTTTATTACCACATGAGATGAGGTGGGTTATATGAATGAAAATTATAGCTTTTCAATTATAAATTAATTTGTTTTTTAGGTATCCAGGTGGAGACTGCACTTCCGATATTTGGTTAGCCGATTAAATGTTTTAAATGTTAAATTGTTATTACTATTGTTATTACTATAAACAACCACATATCATTTGTACTAAATTTTACTTAAATATACTATAATCTAATAAAATAACAACAAAATAACTCACGTATTTCTGTAGACCATCAAACCCATCACTATTGTCACAAAACATCAAAAAATGCAGTGCATTTAATGCACATTTAAAACGAAAAACAATCATAATCTGTCAAAACTTTCAAAATCAAGTTGCTTGCGGCCACCTATCGGCCAATAGAAACCAACCACAGCCAACTTCGCAACAAGACAGTTCTCTGCTATCATCGGTGGTGCTGCCATCTATCGTGTCGTGCGCAACCTAAATTTGAAACACCTTACGGTTAGCGCCACCTGCGGTAAAACTTCAATCAGAACTAAAAATTCGAATGATACCGGCGGTATCTCTACTGAGCGGTATCATACCGCTCAGTAGAGCTAAGATGCTGGAGTGAAGCGGGCCGAGTAGCGTGGTTCGGTGGGATCGATGCAATTTTTTTGAAATTGTCAGGCCAACAGATTATTTTTCGGTGAATGATTTTAGTTCGGGCGAATGCAGTGCAGTGCAGTTTTGTTAGTAAATTTGTTTGTTGTTTCTTGGATACACGAGTGTTGAAAAAGGTTTGTTGATAGTTTCGCACAGCTGATTTTGTTGTAAGTGTGCTGTGGTGAAGGACCAATTAGGATTTAGAACGGCTTTTACGTTTCATTTTATGTTTCAATATATTTTTGACCAAGAACATTTGAAAAACAAAAGGTCATATATGTCAGTATAAGCGATTATTTTTGAATGGATAAATGAATGAATGTAATGTTTGTTTGTTTGTTAATTTACATAAACTACTTAGATAATAATTCATTGTAAACGTTGTTAATTTTAAAATAAATAATTTTTAAATTTTGTTGTTAATAGAACAAACAGATAGTATTTAGTAAAACAAATAAACGAATCATAAATACAAATGTGTTCAATAAATTACTAAAATCCACAGATTTGTTTGCGCAATAATTGATAACATTTGGTTCCCATAGAATAATTTTCTACAAATATGTAAGTACTAAACAGTATTGAAACTAATACGGTATTGTGCTGTTTAAAGGTCATATACCCTAAATCTTAAAATTACACACAGCAAAGAAATATCGATTAATAATGATAATAATTTCTTTGGAATAGTTAGGTTTCTATTTTTGTGAACATTAAAGTGAAGAAGCAGGGGTGCCACCCTAAATTTATTCTAATTATATCTAGGATTTTTGTTTGTATTTAAAATGATAAAAGTAGGTATCTAGGTAGTACTTATTAAAATTTACATTTGTACCTAATTCATATGGGTTTTCGTTTTTAAAATTGTCGCAACAATTAATATAAGTGTTAGGTAAACTATTTTGACATTTATGGCTTTCTGCACAAAGGACAGTTCAATTATGTTGGCTCAAAAAATGTGTTTAAAATCTGTCATTTTATTAAATTTCCATTTAATTGGCAAGACATAAATATTTATCTTTCATTACCTTATATTAAATTTCCCACGCTAGAAATTATATTATACATATGTTATTAATGGTTTAGTATCTAAAATGCTGTCGTCTTTTTGGTGAAACTAACCTAGGTAGTTATAATAATTTGCGTAAATTTAAAATTAAATTTATATATACGAGCCCTAACCACATAATGTTCGGACACTTCATAATTTATACAGAAATTTTTTTCGTGAATACTATCTCAAAATTATTAGAAGTTATGAAAAATTCAGCTTATTTTGGCATATACCCCTCGAGGCGATTTTTATTTTTAAAAAGTTTACCTTTTATTTTTAGCTTTTAAAAAAGGCTAACTTTTTAACCTTTTTTTGCATGAGTAAAAAAAGTTATAAATGGGCCCATTAAAAAGAGCATAAAATATTATACAAACCCTGAAAATTTGGTAAAAAATAAATAAGTTATAAAAAAGTATAAGTAATTTAAAAATGCTATTTTTAAAGAGTTTTTGCAATTTTCTTAGGAAACGGGAGATTTTGCAGATATATATATCGCTATAACTTTCTTATTATTTATACAATTTTTACCAAATTTTCAGGGTTTGTATAATATTTTATGTTCTTTTTAATGGGCCCATTTATAACTTTTTTTACTCATGCAAAAAAAAGTTAAAAAGTTAGCCTTTTTTTTAAAGCTAAAAATAAAAGGTAAACTTTTTAAAAATAAAAATCGCTTCGAGGGGTATATGCCAAAATAAGCTAAATTTTTCATAACTTCTTATAATTTTGAGATAGTATTCACGAAAAAAATTTCTGTATAAATTATGAAGTGTCCGAACATTATGTGGTTAGGGCTCGTATTAATAATCAATAAAATGTCTAAATTATTGCCTATTAAAATGTCAACCCATTTACATTTATTACTAGAAGTATTAACAAAAAAAAACTGATCTTCAAAAATTCTAATAAGCAAGTGACCATCTCCAGAGAAAAAGGATGGCAATTGTTCAGGTAGTTTTTATTTAGGCCTACGTGACCATCCAAAAAATCTAGAACCGGTCCTAAATTATTAAATCACCGACTTCTTAAATGTTTCTGTGAAATGCATCTCTCGTACACGTAAATTCCAACATATGTTTACGATTTTTAGGATTTATGACACGCATGGGTGTAATTTATGTTTATGTTTTGTTATATTTAACATATATGTTAACTTTTTCAGCATGCTTTTAAAATTTAATTAATTTATTTACGTACCTACTATTGATTCAATTGGTTAAAAGTTTATTCAAATTAATTTTTCGAATTCAAGATTTACATCTCGGTTAAAGTCAATTTAACGCTCGAATAGTCCGTAAATGACGAATAGCGATATCTTTTCTAATCCGAAAGAAATTCTTGTGAGGTCTTTATTATTAATACAACCTGTTTACTTTACTTTGACTCGCTTTGAATGCTGTGCTCTGTCCAAAGATGAATGAATCATGTTCAATAAGCGTAAATGGGGCAAATCAGTTCAATAAATACGTGAAATTCATTACGGAACCTTCATGGGAAATGTAAAAATGCCTTGGGTTTAAGAAAAACAAATTTTAAATTAAAAAATAGGTTTATTGTACAATACTATGGTTTCTGTAATACTTCATAATCGCTATCTTGTTTTTATGTGAATTCCTACGATTGTTTTGTTTACCAAATTTCCTAAGTTACCTATTTAAAATTTAGATAAAAAATTTAATTTAATAGAAAATTACGCCACATGCCATGTGCAATATTTAGTAATATTTGTTGAAGGTATTTCGAAAATTCAAATAAAACTACTTAAAAACCAAAACAAATATAGGTAATATAAAAACAATGACAACGTTTAGGAATTTATGGCCCTATGCAGAAAGGTTAGTAACGACTTTTTGGCACAATAAATTTTTGTAACGCACGGCAACAATGCTTTGTGCATTTATTAAAATTATAGTTGCATGTTTCCAAAAGGATATTACAATCCAATTAATAAACATAAGTGTTATAAAAGGATTATCTTAATTACAAATCTACGATGATTAACACAAAATAAGGTTAAATTTGGACATATAGTATTACAAACGCATTCCTTATAATTTCGAAATTGTTATTAAGAGTATTATAATGAAGGTTATTGTCAATTTAAAATTTTTTAACACTAATTCACTACTCAATTATCTGTAGGTAATTTAACTGTGAATATAGCAATCAATTTTAATAAATTTGTTAATTTTACAGCTGACTTTAAATTTAACTTTCTATTGTGAGGCAGTAAAAAAATTAAAATCCGATGGTGTTGTGTTAAAAACCAAGTAGTGTTAAATCTGCAGACCTTGCCGGCCTTTCTTTAGCACCTCTCCTACAAATTAGTAGTATTATTACATTATAATAAAATTATTTTTTTTTCAGATTTTAATGATGATACCATACATCTTATAAATTTTAAGGTAAGTCCCTAAAAAATTAACCAATTTAAAACTTTTACACATATTCCATCAAGCTAATAATCTATTTCAAACCCATTAAATTTAAGTATCACCACCAACAACCGTAAATTGATTTGTTGAAAGATAATTTTGACAACCTGTTGACCACTTTCCATTCCATGTTTGCACTTTCTTAGAGAGAAAAAATGCCAAATGCTAGGCAACAATTTAGTCATTGTCTGTAGTAAAGGGAAAAGTGTTCCACATTTCGAATCTTTGTCGGTCTAAATTTATTGATGGGGCCGTTAAATTAAACGATTTTATGTTAGATGATTGGGATGTTAAGAAAGTTTAGAAAAATAAATCTCATAAAACTTAGCACTTTCTTTAAAAACCAAAAACCTAAACGTTATAATAATTAACAATTATTTTTTTTGTTTGCGGATGTATCGACTTTCCTTCATCAATATAAATAAATCCGATAGCCGGTAGTTTTCTACTTTTCGATTCACAATGATTTTTACCGTTGATTTTTTCAAATCTATTCAGGTTTTAGCGTAATATTAACATACTTCGAAGATTGAAAACAATAAGAATAACTTATACATTCGCTGATCCACATCTTGAAAATCTTTCACTAGTTACGCACGATCTTGAATTTACTTTATATGCAATGTGCCAATAAACTAAATATCAAAACTTGCTACAAAAATAATTTTTTGAGATTTTGATATTTACCTAAGTGCTATAACCATAAAAGTGCTATAATCAAAAAAGTGCTATAATTAACAAGGGCTATAATCAAAAAAGTGCTAAAATAAAAAAAGTGCTATATCTACCAAAAAATACACATTAAAGGCACAAAATATTTTTTTCTTTTTAATATTTATAATATCTAGTTATTATTGGATTGGATTATCGATATTAATTAAGGCTAGTTTGGTTGGAAAACTCCTTAATTTGTAATTCCACGAATAATTCCAATATACTTAATCAAAAATTAAACTTCTAGGAAAAACGTGAAAAATGAAATTAATGATAATAAAAAAGCACTGAAAGCAATAATTAAATATGGATTTAAATTTAAATTGTTCACGTCAGTGTTGAAAACATTCCCAATAAAATTGTAATACTTGGTCTGTTTTTAAAATCGTAGACAAAGCATATAACCCTTTATAAAAACACGGTTTTACGTTTCAGTATTGAAACACTAAACCGCTTATACTGTATTACAAAGTTTTTTGTTTAACTCGACTTATCGTGTAAGGAAGCTAGCAGCTTGATATGATGCCCAGTAAATACATTAATTGGATAAAAGTCTACTTTTTGAAAATTGATTTATTATTTTGTAAACTGGGTATAAACAGAATTTAGAATGTATACATATATGCTACTGTGCAAATTTGTCCTACCATTTACTTAACCTCTGCGCCTTCATGCTCTCCTTATACTTAAAACCGTTTAAAACCTATATTCCAAATTTTCCCTTTTACGTCATAGTATAGAAAGTAGGTATAACCAAAAACGGTTTTATAATTAAACTCGATACCAATCATGCGGAAAAAATAGAACAAATCGGTGACCTTAATGTATTTTTAATGATATTTATTTGGCCAGGCATTGTAGCGAATAAAATTTAATTTGCAAAAAACCAACATGACCCCCATAAATGGTGGGAACCTTAACTGGATTTAACAAGGAGAGGTGCTAATTTTAGGGTATATTTTTGGAGTATATTTTTTATACAGGGTCACCTCTATCATTTTTGAATTAGAGATACTGTTTTTTAATAAAAAAAATATGAACAATCAGTGGCGGCCCTAAACTTTACTTATAGAAAAAATAATGATTTTTTTTTGGCGAATTTAAAATTAAATGGTATTTTCCCAAAAATAACCAGAAATGATGATATTTTTTATAATTGTTGAACCGTGTTAAAATCTCTGCCTAACAAATTAACAATACTTGTTCCCATAAAACGCGTTTGAAAACCATTTCGAGCAGCATCAACAAAACATAAACACACGCCCACAAAATTGTTTTATAGACCTCCGATAAGGAAATCTACACTATGAACACCCTGAGGTGATTCATGCTGAGAGTCTGTATTAGAAAGTTCAGACTGAATTGCAAACGATCAGTAGTACTTACATGGCAAAATATTAACGAAAAAAAATGTTAAATTGTTTGATTTAATCTGTCAGCAAAATCTGTGAAATCCCTAATGACTCAAGCTTGGGTATATTTAGTGGCAACCTAAATCACCGGACCTAACCGCATGGGATTTTTTTGATGGCATTTCCTAAGTATGGAACATTTCAGTTTAGTTTATTATATTTTGTTTTTTTATTAAAATAAGCTGTAACTTAATACATTCATAAAGAAGCTTCTTAATAATAAATTAACATTTGCCTGAGGCAAATTAAATAAAATATTACAGCTATATTAAAATAAAGACAATTTGATTTTGTAATTTGAAATTGAACAAAATAAATAAATGTTTTTTAATGTTTATTCATTTGTAAAATTGTTCCTTACAAAATATTATTATTGTTTAAATATGTAAGTAGAACGCTAAAAATTATTAAATATAAATTTTATAAAATTTAGCAAACCATATAAATTGCGAAATAAGTTGTGAAATTTTGACGGGATTTGGTTCAATAACAGGAAATTACTTTTTTTAAATATTTTTTGTGAATTTATTCGAAGGACAGCATTTGCAAAATTATCAGAATTAAATCATAATTATTTTTGAATGATCAATACTCAATTTCTAAAAATAGGCATTTGCGGATTGTAATTAAATTTTAAAATTTAAATTAAAAATTTCTGGGGAGCGAAAAAGAAATCGATTTAAAATTTTAAAAGCGTTTATAATTCATTTAAGTCTATTTCCTTTGAAAAATCAAAGCTACTCTCTAAAAATGAATTAGTCAAAAATGACTAATTTAATAGTTATTAGTGGCTGCTTTTTCACTTGTACCATGGTTAACCATTAACCAATTCTTATGTAAAATTGTCCCCTGAATCCGAAAATACCGTCAAAAATTATGAAAGTGGAGCGGTTTTTGAGATATACGAGGTGTGTTCAGAAAATATCGGGAATTTTAGTTTTTTGAAACAAATATTTATTTATTCGTCTACATTAATGTTGTCGCCTTCAAAATAGTCCCCATTGGATATTATGCACATGTGCCAGCTCTTCTTCCAATACTCGAAACACTTCTAAAACTCGATCTTTGGGATAGCCTTTAGTTCTTTCAGCGATGCGCTTTTAATGTCATCTATGCTTGCAAAACGACGGCCCTTTAAGGTTCTCTTTATTTTTGGGAATAGGACAGACAGAGGCATGTTTGGCGAATATGGAGGCTGGGGCATCATTACAGTATTGTTTTTGGCCAAAAATTTTGTTCAAAATTTAACAATTTTAGAACAAATTTTGCTGCCACGCGTTTCATACCCAAAACATTCGAAAAAATTTCATGGGATGAGCCAATCGATGTACCAACATCATCAGCGACCTCTGATGGTTTATAACCATTTCTTCCACATTTTCCATGTTTTTATCGGTTGTTAATGTGCTTGTGCGTTCGGGGCGTTCGTCATCTTCAACGTCTTCACGGCCATCTTGGAAACTCTTATACCACTTGTAAACTCTTGTTTTACTTATAGCAGACTCACTATAGGCATTTGTTAACATTTCACAGAATTTATTTCATTTTTTAAGCAAAATTGGATACAAATTCTTTGGTCCATTTCTTTTAACGAACGAAAAATCGCCGAGCTCATAAAACACGTCTAACCTTAGCGGCTGCCACAGACAAAGTAAACAATGAAAACAGATAAAGTTTTTATCATACTTCGGGCATGTATACCAACCTGCGAAATTTAACAATTCCCGTTATTTTCTGAACACACCTCGTAGTCAATTCCACATTAAATGGAAAATTGACCATATCTCAAAAACTGTTCTACTATTTTAACTTTTGACGAAATTTTCGGATTTAGGGGACAATATTACATAAGAATTGGCTATTAAATTAGTCATTTTTGACTAAATCATTTTTAGAGAGTAGGTATTTCAGATTAATGTTTCTTTTAGTTCTCTACCAGTTGGGTGAATCACCCTGTATATATTTTTTAATTTCTTTCTTTTTTACTATATCTACCTTCTTAATGTAAAATATTTAGCTATCCCTTGTGCATGCGGCCATTAGTGTGTCAATACTTCGATATTGCATCTGAAAATAATGAGTTACACCTACTTTTGCATAACTCATGTGATTTTTTAGACGACCCACTTCTGGTGGGAATTTGCGCCACGACCGAGCAACTTGTCGAGATGAACGTTGTTACTTAAAAATTTAACGAAGATCTGCCGCTTTTTGTTCACTTGTTCACGAAAGGATTTCGTAACCGAGAAGCACTCTTCTTTGCCTCTAGGTTATTTATGGGTAGCCTTCATTTTATATGTGTACTTTTGCTGTAGTTATACAACTATCTATTTATGCATTGTAAATTATCACTTTATAGTGAATTTTTGCAAAGCAACTTTTTTATTTTATAGGATAATTTTGGTACATAAAAAAGCGTTTTCGAGAAAAACGCTAAAAAAATATACAGTAATTGTTTATTGGGGTCCTATTAATTTTTCACCACAAGAATTATAATTATTATTGATAGATTGTTAGGTTCATTTAATACAATATCATAACAGTTTATAATGTATATATATGGTAATTAAGTTTTGCAAGATCATATGTGAAGTATTACAAATGCTGTATAAACAATCTAAACAATTTTTCTTGTTAACGTTGACCTCTGAATTGCTTTATCACTTTAGGTTTTTGTGTGGACCTTTTATTTGTAATTTGTTGACATCTCAAACTTTTAGATGTCAAAGATAAAATAAAATGTTTGAAACCACAAGTATGCTGTTTCCATAAATGTATACGTACATACATGTATGGACCTATGTAACGCAAACCATATAAATAAAAAAATAAGTAGCCATTTAA